GTCAAGTTTCTATCTGAGCTTCAACGGCCTTGAAAATGCCTTGAGAGTGGAGTAATTTGGTAACCACGTCAACAATGTGGAGTGTAGTGACCTAAATCTTCATCAGGCTCATTTAACAGGCAAATAACGATGCCAAGTGATAAGTGATGATCCACAACGGGAAACTCAGCGAGGAGTTTGAAGTAAATACAGTATGGAATAAGACAAATCTGCCTATTCTCATCAATCATATTCCTCACTGTGGTCGACTGGAGCATGCTTTAGACTGTGCACAGGGAGTGAGAAGACATGAATACGTTGGACTGGTAGGAAAACTCCAGAAGACTTAAATTTCGCGGACGATTTATGTCCAACGTCACACACATACATACTTGAAGACTTCCAGGTGAAAATCAACAAACTGGCACGCACTAAAGACAGGACTACAAGTGAACTTAGAGAAGACGGAAATAATTACAAGCACCAATTACTCTCAACGAGAGGAATTTGAAAGTGATCACTCCCTTCACTTATCTAGGAAGCATCGTTTCAACTACAGGTGACAGCACTGATGAAGAAGTCAAAACTAGACAGTATCAGAAAGGCAAAACAGGCTCTTATTAATCTGAAATTAGTTTGAAAACCTTCCGCGCCTCGTATAAACAGCAAGCTTAGGATTTTCGGTACTAATTTCAAGTGCTTCTTTTTGGGTCAAAAACGTGGCCAGTGTGTCACGAAAAGCATTTCTGACAGCCTTCTGCAGACTTCCATCAACAACTACCGTCACTGGTTCCATATTGAAAATTAAACGGCCAGTAGGGAAGAATTAGCAACAAGAAATTGAATTTGGCAAAATACTTTTTTATATCCCTAAAACGTAAGTTCCGAATCCACTAAATAGTATCTAGTGTCACGTGTCTAGTCGTTTGTTTGGTGGAACACGCAGAGCTAGGGTGTTATGTTCAGAAAATAAGAATGAAGAGGAACTCTCATTTATCGAAAAGAAGTCTAAAAAGTTAATATAAAAATATGGGAGTGAAGAAAAAACCCAAAATAGTTGAAAGGATACCAGTTTTTATCTGTCTAGCGTACAATGTGGAAGTATCCACAAGAACTGAAAAAATAATTATGGATGCATTGAAAAGAACATTTTCCGACGCCAGATTCATTCTGCTTTACAACACAGTATGGCTGTAAATCTGTCAAAAGTAGGTAAGTATCCTGCTCATAATGAAGAACTCGACGAGGAGTTCGAAATGAATACAGGAGTAAGACAAGCCGACAGCCTATTATCACCGATGATAGTCTTAATTAGGGTGGACTGGATTATGCGAAAGACTGTATTTAGGGGGCGAGGAGGCAGGAATACGCTGGACCACCGATAAGAAGATCTGAATTTCGCAGATGATATATGTCTGATGTCACTCAAACTCGAAGACTTGCAAGCGAAAACCAACAAACTTGCTGAAGACGCTGACAGCGAACACAGGACTGCAGGTGAACACAAAGAAGACGGAGGTGATGAAAATAAACAACGAACAGCAACAGTAACAACCATCACCAATCACCATCAACGGGAGAGATTTAATAGAGGTTGCCTCCACCTATCTGGGAAGCGTCATTTCAACTACAGGCGGAATGGACGAAGATGTCAAAGCCCGTCAGAATCGGAAAGGCAAGATACGCCTTAATCAACCTGAAACTAGTTCGGAAAACTTCAGCACTCACTCAGCTTAGGGAACAAGATTTGCATTTTCAACGCCAGTGTGAAGTCGGTTCTTTTACATGAGTCAGAAACTTGACGTATCACGAAAAAGATTTCCAACAGGTTGCAGATATTCATCAACAGCAGCCCACTTCGCTGGCTGGCTCTATACTGAAGATCAAATGGCCAGAAAGAATAACCAACGAGAAACTCTGGGAACAAACCAACAGGCAAGAGCCGACCGCTCAACAAATATGTAGGCGAAAGTGGAAATGTACCGGGCATACATTCAGGCCGCCGAATGACATCGCACGACAGGCCCCCGAGTGGAATCCATATAGAAAGCGACGAGTGGGTGGCCGGTGTGAGGATGACATGGAGGAGAGCGTGTGTTGACGAGGAGGAGATGAGAGAGTTCGGTCAATTGTGGACCCAGCTGAAGAGGACGGCAGAAAACAGAACAAAGTGGAGGTGTGTATTTGAAGCCCTATGTTCCACTAAGAACGCAAGGGAACAATAATAATAATCCTGCTCCGCATGTCAACTGCCACCGCATTTATCAATTCATTCTCATTTGCAGGAGAAAGGACTGAGAGGAGAACATCTACTAGATTCTTCGAGCATATCCCTAAAAGTCTCCGTTTGAAAATCAGCAAAGTGTTCTGAAGTGCAACTGTCAGACACCTAAATAACAACGGAAATTAATCAAGCTTTCAAAATAGCCAATACACAAAGAAAACCATGGTTACCTCGGTTCACCGAGGCCACTGCTATCGGAAGATTTCCAAACAACCTGTGTATACAGAAAGATAGCATGGCTTATCTCTCACTACTGTGGTAGCCCGTAATCGTTTTGTTCTGTTGCGTGACACTCCACTCAATTCTGATTTCAGCTTTCACTGAGTTGAACTCACTATTAAACTTCCAAATCTACTTACTTGTTTTATTTACGTGGAGCCAAGTGAAAACGTTGGTAGAAAACCGAACGCGATGGAAACGTGCGGCTGATGTCCTATGTTCCTCAAGGAATTAAAGGAAACAATAATAATAATCCACTACTACTCCCTGAACTTTCCATCATAAAATGTATAAATTCGCTCTATTGTTCGATGTTTTATTCTCTCTCTAGTGTCCCATTGTTTCTAAACGTCTGAACTCCAACGCCCTTATCTGATGATTATATAAACATTTACTCTTTCAAAACTGAACAACTCGTATGCTTACATCCTTTCCCGGAATTATTTTGCTTATACTTTCTATCTATTACTCGAAGTCACTGTGTTCAGACAGAATTTTGTAACTTAAAATTTGATTTTGTTTAGGATGTATTTAGTTGAACAGAATCCATGAAATAAAACGAGTTCGTATCGGAAAGGCAGATTATGAGAGACTTCGTTAAGGGATGTTTATTTGGAATTTCGTATCTCTTATATGAGATATAATAGAGAAGATTTGTAGCTCAGGTGGATGATTTTGGTGTGGTTGTGTTCTCTGAGCTGGATGGTTTGTGCGTCGGTGGTACAGCGGTAGAATGCTCACCGACCAAGCATGTGGTTCGGGGTTCGATCCCCGGCCACGGACGCACTCCTTTAACTCGTTAAGCCAGTAATAAGACTGGTAAAGAGGGAAGGTGGAACATGAGGCTAGCAAACCCATCCCGTAAAAATAAATACCACTGCTACTGAAACTTCAAACCTCTAGCTTGAAGCACTAAGTCCCACTAGGAACGTACAGGAATATATATATATAATATAAATGGGAGGAACCTGAAAGAAACAACCTTCTTCACCTACCTGTGAAGCATCGTTTCAACTACAGGTGGACGACACTGACGAGTATATCAAAACCACGATCCGGAAAGCAAGACAAACTTTCATTACTCTCAAGTCTGTGTGGAGATCAACAGCACTCCTCAGCATGAAAAATAAGATCCGGATTTTCAACTCCAATGTGAAGTCAGTGCTACTATACGGATCAGAGACTTGGCGCCGCTTCACGAAGGGCACTTCGAACAAACTACAGACCTTCATCAACAGCTGTCTTCGCTCAATACTCAAGATCAGCAACAGGGATATCTGAAAGCAAACCAACCAAGCAGGAACCAATTGTGCCACAAATAAGCAGGAAGAAATGGAGATGGATTGGCCATACTCTGAGGAAACCATCAAGTGACATCACTAGACAAGCCCTCGAGTTGGATCCGAAAGGGAAGCGGCGATTTGGTCGTCAGTGCAAGGGTGACTTGGAGGAGGTCATGTGAAGGGGAGATGAAAGCATGTGGGCATACCTGGAGCCAGGTGACAATGGAGATGTGCAGCTGAAGCCCTATGTTCCTCTAGGAATTAAAGGGAATAATAAATAATAATATTTGATGAATATCTGTTTATATACACTACCGATAAATCTTAACAGTAGCACACGCCACAGTATTATCCTGCGAATATGTTTGTTCTTTCTTTATTCAAACAAATGAAAGTTACCGGTTGCATGAGAGACTAAATTCTATCAGTCAAGTTTGAGATTTCAGCACCATACTAAGTGGCCCGCAATCACGATGCACTGCACTATGAACTGTTGTTAATTAGATAGTTGAAGGCAATCGAAAAGAATCCGTAGCTAGCCTAGGTTTCATGCTCGTTGGCATTCCACAGCAATCTTGTATGTGTGTTGAGATTCAAAAAGGTTACCATTAGGCTATTTGGGCTCGCGATTTACACACTGTAAGAGTATAATCGGCACTTTTCCCTGGTAGATACTAGAGGTAGTGTAACCGATGTTCGGTATCAAATGAATTATAATCACAGTTAAAAGACATCAGTTGTTCCTTCAAGACAGGCACTAAACCTAGGTCAAGCAAGGCTTCCTGCTGATTGCCTCCAATCATCTAATATCAACAAATCACAGTACAGTAAGTGCATCGTGATGGTGAGCCGCTTAGCCTGTTGGTGGCCACATTACAAACTTGACTGACTGATAGAATTCAGTCTACACCAAACAAATAAAGGACTAGGCACATTATTCTAGTTACTAGCTAGTGTCTAATAATCAAAGTATTCAACAGAGTAGGTCAATCGCCAACCCAAATAACCCCTCAATAGTAATGTCACTGACTGCACCATTGGATGACGACACGGGTCCCAATGTCAGAAGGGACTACGCCTCACTACCTGACTGGTGAGTACCAACAAGGACTAAACACACCAAGGGTCAGTCACAATTAGAGCTTCCAGCTGATTGCCTCCGACCATTTTAACGCCAATCTTAACTTGCCCAAAATATATTATCCCCTCGCAAATAATGAAACAAAAAACCACTATAATACTAATAGTATAACAATATGTATATATTTTGAAAAAGAGACCGTATGTAGTAGTACAGTAAGACTTAGACGACAGAGAAGCCGGTGAGAATGAGGAATGTATGCAGATATATGCGCATTTTGATTTTCTTCAAAGAGAGAAGACAAAAAATGCGAAAACAAAGAGGAACACACACACACTCGCCAATATATATGCAATAACGAATACGAAATGGTAGCAGCATTACGTAATAATGCTAAGAACAAGAATATGCATATATATATATATATATATATATATATATATATAAAGAGAGAAATAAATAAATTGCAAAATATAATGTGGATGTATAGAAATGCGATTTATTTGCGTCCTATTCATCATTCCATCCTCCTACTCAGCAAAAATGATATCGCCAACTTTCGGCGATAACAGTAAACAACAACAACATCAAATCTCGTAGCATCTTCATCCTACAACTACTGTCTGTCTGTCTGTAGGAGAAGAAGAAGACAAGGCGTATTACATCATTTCAGAGTCATGTGATGATTAATAAAAAACACAATTTAGAGAAGACAAAGAACCAACTTCATTTATATATAAGAGAGAGCGAGAAATATAGCAACATAGATGGATGCATATATAAATGAGCTCAAACCAATGCAGTACAAATTAAACATTGGCCTATTGTGCATCTTGTGCAATGAAAAGATTTTCAGCTGTAGAGAAATGTCATCATATAGATAGATGACAGGAGCGACAACATTAACAGCAGCAACAACTACAACAACAGTAAAGGAAACACACACAATTCACCACCTTCATTCACACTGGCTTAAGATTGATAATGACAAAGATACTTTTTGGGGGGTGGAGTGGAGTGGAATACAAACGAAAAACACAAGCAAAAAGAAAAGAAAAGACGAAAACGAACAACATTCCCCGTGAATGAGTACTATAATGTGTAAATTCATAACAATCTAATTGTAAATGTGCATATAGACGTGTGCATGTATGTATGTATATATATGTATAGAGTAAAAGCTATATACGTCTCTTCTAAGAGATGAGTAACTGTGAGATTCCTTCATTTAATGTAAATGTATATTCATCTTCACAATAGATCAATACGATAGCCGGGATAACTGAGACGACCGTCTCCAGTCGATGATGTTGCTTCATTCATAATTTGAATTATTGAACGTGAAATTACTGAAGCTAAATTTATGTGACAAGCATTCAGTCGACCAGCATTTACACCAAGCCAAATTAATAATTCTTCTGTTTCATAAGCGAGTACTAAAGACACTTCGAGTTGAGCATCATCACCTAAGGAGGGGGAAAAATAGAATCAATGAAAGATTGTACTTTAAATAGACATTTCACAATAGTAATTACAAACTGATTTAATTCAATTTGGACTGCTAGTCACCAGCCATAACCAAATCCTTACACATCGTCGAAGCATTCGTACAAGGAGCCGACAGAGCACTACAGTCTAGTCATCAATCAACGGGAAAGTCAGAATTGAATTAAATAACAAGGATAAACTGATACCCACTGCATGGAAAAAGAGGTGGCTAGCTCCCGTGGCTCAAGTGGTCTGTCTAGTGGATAACGCTTTGGCGCTTGAAACGATGGACACTTGGTCTGAGCCTCAGTGGGAACACAATCACTGACTCACGAAATGCGCATCTTGGTGGATTCCGCTGCTAGCCAGTCACCATCCACAAATGTACTCAGTTACAAACGTTACGTCAACGGTTCACCAGTAGAATGCTCGCCAACCATGCTTCATACGATCCAGGGTTCGATCACCTACCTCTGACACACTCCTGAAACCTCCCTAAGCCAGTGTGAAATCAAGTACAGGGGGATAGATCGAGAGCATATACCAATACGCTGTTCAAAGAAGATGATGTGTACAAGAAGTAGTCAAACAAAGACTCAACAAAGCTATCAAAACAACTCATCACGCTACAAAACTTGTCTTCATTAACACTACCAAGCGGCGTGCTTCAACAATCTGTGAAAGACCAGTCACCAATCCTCTACACTTCATCAAACCGCGTATATCATTTTGGATGTGTTTGTGGAAGCAAATACATAGGTCGTACAGAAAGGCAATTGTCTACGAGCATGATATAGCATTTGCTAAGATGGTTGAAAACACCTGAAGTCAAAAGTGCCGAAAAAGCTCAATAACAAAACATCTTGTGGACTACGGACGTGATATCGACGCCGTCAAGTCGTTCACTATTGTCAGCAGACAAAGAAACGAGAATATGCTTGCAATTGCAGAGGCTTGTGCAATTCGAGTTAATACACCAGGTCTCTGTCTACAAAAGGAGATGGTCGTGACTCTGAATCTACCGTGGTTATACGTTTTACTTATTATTTCACCTCTTATTATTACTATTATTGTTCTTGATTTATTTAAAACTATCCTTTATCAGTAGCAGTATCTTAACTCTCCTCAACACTATTATTATTATTGTTATTATAACTATTACTATTGATATTACTCTGTTTCCAATTCTTGATATATTCTCTAATGACTAATTGTTTATCTAAGTGATGTAATTGAAGCGTAATGCAATTCAACTTAATTTTGATCTCTCATACTCTCTCTCGCCTTACCTATTTGAGCATGACCTGGAAAACATTCGCACCTGTCTTTCTGCATGACTAATTCAATGTAGTTTGTTTACTTATCAGTCTTATATCTCCCAATGTAATTTCAAAAGTATATATATCCATGTATGTAGAGTACTGAGCAGCTGACCAGTTCTACCGAAATTTGATGAATTCATTATATCCTGCTGTATTACACCTTATTGCTTGTTTTAAATAATAATTATCAGAAACGTTGATAAATAATACTGAAATAGAAAGCTAAGGACTTACCATTCCATGATTCTTTGCCGACAACTAAAGATTCTAAAAGTGAACAAGTAGGTCTTACGTCAGTGGCTACATAATACCGTGCCCTAACACGTTTAAACCATTCAGCATCAACGTAATTCGGATTTCCACCGCCTGGAAGAAATGCAACATCGACATAAATTGGTTTAACTTTATCATATGGTGATGGTAATGGTGCTTTGCCACTAGTTATATGCCCTGAGGCAATAGTATAACCAGGTGAATAAGTAGCAGTTGATTGGTTAGATCCATTCGTATGTGTAGCTGGACGTGGAGCAAGAGAAAGACGACCTGAAAAAGTAAAATAAAATAAATAATTGTGACCAATTAGATATTCAACGTAGAACTTGCAGTAATTCAATTATTACATGTGTAAAACTTGGGCACTGTGGTAGTTGTATGTAATTCCATATTACATTTGTTTATTAGATAATATCACATACAGAGTCAAACAGTATTATTGCTTACTGGATGACGTTTCGGGCCCACAGATGCTAAACCCATCCTAATTCAGCAAAAATACCATTAGTGAAATGACTAAGTAATGGGGCACAACCACTGCATTAGTATCAAGGAAAATCTAGGACACGAAGTGGATCATATACGGGAAACTTCAAAACAACATAATAAATAATTCAGGTAGTATGTAGGAAAAAGTAAGAATAATAATAATAGTAATAATGACAAGCATGACAAACATCCACAGAATGCTGACATCACCAACAATAAGGAATTTAAAGCATCAGCAGCACTTTCATACAAAGAAGAAACCTCAGAAACCTTACCTAGAACTCTTATAATAAGGCAGGAATCAAAGTGGTTGGTATTCAAACCAACTACAAACTCAATTAGCAACAAGCTTTGTTGGTTAAACGATCCTGTGGAACAGCCCATTAAACAAAACAATTTAGTTCATCTAATAGCCTGCCCTGAATGACCCTTAAGTTGAATACGTAGGTCAAAGTGGTAGAAGGATGGGGTCAGCCAGACTAACAGAGCACAAAACCCTGGTGAAATCTAGATTAGCTGACTATAATAAGATAAATAAATAGGATGGGACAAGATGACAGTTCTAAAATCTAATAAAAACAACTCAGTGGAGAGGGCGACTGATAACAACACCTTGATATGATTATGAGCAATAAATTGTGCTCGAAACGTCATCAGTAAACATTACTGTATAACACTGTGCGACATTATCAAAACAAAATTTACCCATAATGGAATTACACTCTACCACAGTGCACAAGTTTTATTCTTATATCAACGGAAGCTTTACCTTATTGAATCAACTGAAGAGAATACGTATGTAATAGTAAGGAATCAAAACCTCTCCACCCAGATATCTGGAAAATTCTACTAACCCTACGACAACGAGTAAAAAGGAGTAAAGAAAACTATGAAACTGAAGTTTCGGGTTGTTTAGTAATTACTGATCATATGAATATGAACCCCATTACATTGTGTTCGAAACATTATCATCCAGTACGTTTCACCCTGTGTGTGATATATCTATTAAACAAATTAATATGGAACTGTAGTGGTTCAAGTAAACTCACTTCGAAGTACAGACAAACATGTAAAGAAATTCTACAGACAAGCAAGACAACTAGATACACACGTGCAACTCAACTCTCCAGCCGTCTATCCCTAACATTTTGCGGTCCCTCGTCAAGTCGTGTAGACACCTTCCAATGTGCCTGAAACCAACCGTCAGAATACTTCATGCTATACAGTAATATTTACTGATAACCCCGTTTCGAGTACAATTCATTGCCGCTCATAATCATATCAAGTGACTCACACAACTTTATAACTTCGTTTATATAATTCCATTAAACATTCATCGCTTGATTTGATTGGTAGTAGTATTTTCCATATTTCCAGTATGAATAATGAGTGTTGGGTGTAGACTCGATGAACAAGGCTTCAGTAATCAACCTCTCTCTACCTACCTACCTACCTACCTACCTAGATTACTTTTTAGAATTTCAACCCTCTCCCATCATTTGTGTGGTTGTGCGTTGTTAATGCATGCAGTGCAACCCTAAATTCTTATGTTCTGACAGTCTCACTACTCCTGATCTACTAGTGTGACCTATGTAATTGACAGTCACTGCAAGGTATTTTGTAAATTATATTATTTTGTCTAATTGGGTCAATCGACAGAGCCCTTTAATCTACGCGAACTACCAAACACGTTCAAGGTCACCCACCAGGAGAGATAGCTAACAAACTCGTGGAGAAATCTAAAAGCTCACTTCAATTCAATTTGAAGTATGCACTGAAGATGTTGGCTAGTAAGGCAATGAAAGCTTCGCAAATTAACTATCCAACTAAGAGAACACAACCACATCAAAATCTTCAGCTTCCTAGCCAATTCGTGTAGACACCTTCCAACAGTCAATGTACTTCATGGACACTAATAGCATGTGTGAGGTAGCAGCTGTGCGTGGAACAAGAGAAGAACAATTTTAAAGAGCTAAAACTAAAAAAACTAAAAACAAGTTCGAATAAGGCAAGAACAACAACAAATGTCTCGATCAGGATAGATGATATGAGCTCATATATTATTATTGTTATTATTATTTCGAGGAATTAAAAACATCGAGCATCCAAAAGGTAATTAAATCGATACTCTTGAGAATAGAGTTTAAAATATTTTGGGGAGAAACGAAGTTCGACTTAGGAAGAGTATAATACTATATGTAACTACAGAAAATATGCTTTTATAAAAAAGCAGAAAAAGAGGGGGTAGGGGGCTAGGGTGACTCATGTTCAGATGATACAATGAAATTTTTTTCTAAAAACACAACAGTAGACAATGTAATAAAATTTACCGACTTTGTTATCACCAAAACAGTACGAAATTCATTACACTGTCTTTTCCTGAGTATATAGATTTACTTTTTAATTGTTTGATGGCAATCGACTCTACAAAGTATAGCAAGTTAGGCTTCTTTTACCTGTTGATTATTTTGAACGCCTTTACATTGTCTACAATGTGACCACTGTTCAATGGATGGTGCGCAGTTTCACTGTTTAATACTTGTGAGCTCTTTGATGTGGTTCAGAAATGTCGAAAAATAACCCTTCTCTCTGTTCTTCCAATGTATGTGCTTTAGCATGTGCATGTAAGTTGGTAGACACAGTTGGAGGTAGCATGATGTGAGAGTTTGACCACCTTTGACTGTTTTAAACGACTGTTAAGAAAACTTTATTTTTCGTCTAAACATGACTCACTCTACACCCCCACCCCGTCATAATTCCTAGCGTATCTCCAGTCTATCTACTCATATCCTTCTGCATATTTTTGAGTAACACGGCTGCTACACACTATCGCAATTTCTTGTTGATTAATCATCATTTGCGGTCAGCCAATTTGATCTTCAGTATCAAGCAGTGAAGGTTGTTGGGAATATTTTCGATGACGCGCACCCCAACACTCCAAGCCATACATATAGAAGTACTGACGTTACAGAAATCATGATGTTATTACATAGGTTGCGCTGTGCGTCGGTGGCACAGCGCTAGAATGCTCGCCAATCACGCAGGTGGTCCGGGGTTCGATTCCCGGCCGACGCACTCCCTTAACTCGCTAAGCAAGTAATAAGACTGGTAAAGAAGGAAGGTTGGTCATGAGACTAGCGACCGCATCCCGCAAAAGTAAACACCACTGCTACCAAAACTTCAAAGCGCTAGCTTGAAGCCACCCTATGTTCCACTGCGAACGTAAAGGAATAAAAAAGCTGTTGCACGTTAACAACCCAACGCCATGAAAACAAAACACAAACGCATCACGCGCCATGGACAAAAGAATGAACGTATTTTCTTCTTTGGAATTGGCAAGACTTCACCCAATATGAGGATAGATGTGACACCGAATTGATGACAACATTTTCAGGAAGCCACTCTCTCACACATCCGATAAGTCTTCCCTCTTCTTCTCCGAGGTAGGCAAGACTGTTGTTCACAGATCACAGAAATAGTGAGAATGACCTTCGTAACTAACACATATCTCCTACTGTGTGATCTCTCTCTTACACCATCGTCTTACCTATCCATTCAGCTACATTATATATTCCGAACATAATCATGATTAATGAATGACAACATACACACACATACAGTGGAACAGATATTTTTATACGGTGAAACTCAGGAAAACGAAGAATATCTAGCAACTGACTGACTGACTGGCTGGTTTCAACGTAGAACTTCGCACTGAGGTGCAACAGTTCAATTGTTGCCATACTCCTTCCTTGTAGCACACAAAGCAAGAGGAGAGAGTACACAGAGATTCAAAAGAGATAATAAACAGAGATATGAAGCAAAGAGAAAAGTAATATGAAAGAACAATATAGTTTTATTGGATAAGTTATAAAAAGTGGATGCATCTGCACCTAGGTATTGAGAACGATTTTCAGCTATATCACCGGTTGTCTGTCTCCACTTGTCATTGGTTCTTACTATCCGAACCAGGAAGTCAGTCTATACCTTCCTGCGTGGCTTGCTGGCTGTTTCAAACTAACTGTTATGGATTTCATTGACTGATGTTTCGGTTCGACCACCACTGGCTTTTTTTCAACCTGATTCATCCTATGTCAGCTAACATTGTCCGTCGGTCGAGGAAGGCAATGGCTGGGCATACGTAGCAGCTTTTATTAAGTTAGCTACACATTGACAAAAATAGCTCGACATTAACTTTGATAATGAAGAGTAGATAGATTAAACAACCAGACTATATTAAACTATGTATTAACAGTAATAATAATAATAACAATAATAATTTGACATTTTTGAAACTTACTAGTTTTATTCACATTCAATGAAGCACTGTTGACAGATGTAAGTCGTCTCGTTGGCATATGAGCTGTAACAGAAAACAAAAGGGGAATAAAGTAGACACAATTTAGTACAGTTTTGAATCAAATTTGACAGCTAGTCAAAATAATACACTGAAAGTAGGATATCACCTTCAAAAAGTATTATATTTAGGCATTGATAAATTTAGATTTATTTACACTAGAGGATTAGAACAATTATAGTTAGTGATTATTCATTCACAATAGCAGTTACTGCTATTACTGCTACCTCTAGTGTCCATTAGTGAAAGCAGCCATTACAATCCCTAAATGAGGTCAGGCAATCGCGAGCTCGAATAGACCTCTTCAATGGTGGTAACATATCTCTGAATCTTTCTGCTCTGGATCAGTTATCTCCAGGTGAAATTATGTTGGACGGGAAAGTCAAAACTGTCCTCGACTCAATTAATTCTATGCCCGTAACTGCAGGGCTGCAGAAATACAGAAATGGAAACCTAGTTTAATCGCCATCATGGAGGCAAATGTCGAGTTTTCAAATTGTATCAGCACGTTCATGTACGCGACTCTCGCTATTCACCTTCAAAATGGATTCGAGGAGTGGAGCAGAAAGGAAATGGTTTACCCAAAGTGAATGTAGACGGACAGATATGTGTCAGACACACAAATCATATACGAGATTCGTCAGAGATCCGACAACAGGAAGTGAAATCTAACGTTAGAAATATTGGTGGATACATCTAATCTTCGACAGCCACAATCTTAGGGGACAGATCACACCCTATCCATTACCACTAAAAGGTTAACTTAACAAAGAAGACCACTAAAAACCTTTCCAAATATATCCATAAAGAAAGTCCTACACTATTTACTGGAGGGAGGGAGATGATACGAATCCGCTTAAAACAGTAATCATCAAGTGACTCATCGTGAGATTGGACTGTTGTGAAATTTCATCCTTTTCTAACCTCGGTCTTGGTCATTTCGCCAACCAATCAGAATATTTATTTTTCGCCTACCTTAGCCAAATCGCCTATCAATTGGATTAATCCATTTCCACTGCCCTGAGTCGATTTTAATAAGGTTAGGATATATATATATATATATATATATATATATATATATAACAAATTGGCGATAGGTCCAGAACATACCTCTAGTTTCCATCAGTGAAAGCAGTCATTACAATCCTACAAGAGGTCAATCGCGAGCTCGAATAAACCTCTTCAGTGGTAACGTCTCTGAATCACAGAAGAGACATGGATTGAGTTCCTTCAGCACTGCAGATACACCTTGTTGATCGGTCAGTGCCAATGGATAAGTTACGTAGGGCTTCCTATCGATTGTCTTTAGCCAATCAAGTTGACAACAATTCAGAGTGCAGTGCATCATCATGGCAAACCATCTAGCATACTGTAGACATTGTCAACTTGACTGTCATGGAGTTTAGTTTGTACCAAATAAAAGACTAGACGCTTGACGTTAGTTACTATTCAGTGTCTAATAACATTAAGATAAGATCGAATTCTGAATACTTAGAGATATCGCTTTAGGAATAATAATGATAGCTCACTGTGTGGAGGTCAACAACTCTCAGCATCAAAAATAAGATCCGGATTTTCAACTCCAATGTGAAGTCAGTGCTGCTTACTATACGGATCAGAGACTTGGCGCGTCATAAAAAGCATCTCAAAAAAACTACAGACCTTCATTAACAATTGCCTTCGCTCATTACTCAAGATCTGATGGCTGGCCAGAAAAGATCAGCAACAGAGATCTCTGGCAATGAGCGAACCAACCAGGAACTGATTGTGCAACAAATAAGCAGAAAGAAATGGAGGAGGTGGATTGGCTGGCCATACTCTGAGGAAACCATCAAGTGACATCACTAGACAAGCCATTGCTCGAATGGAACCCGAAAGGGAAGCGGCGAGTTGAGCGTCAGTGCAAGGGTGAATTGGAGGAGGTCATGTGAATAGGAGATGAAAACGTGTGGGCAGACTTGGAGCCAGGTGAAGACTCTAGCAGAGAACCGAACGCAATGGAGACGCACGGCTGAAGCCCTATGTTCCTCTAGGAATTAAAGGATACAGTAATAATAATAATCACTGTTTATAGTGAAGCTGCATAGATTGATATGGTAAGGGCATGTGTTACGTAGGCTTACTCATTGTCAGGTTGGAAAAGAACGAGTGGTGATCAAATCAAAACACAGTATCAGTTCATAAAATCCTTAACAGGTAGTTTAAGCGAGTCGTGAAGAAGGGTGTCGAACTGCTTGGTTGAGATCCTTAAGATGCTGAGAACCAGTGGCTGAAATCATATTCATCTGTATCACCTTTCAAAGCAATAATCTCATATGTTGACCATATTTTAATGCTTCTGCAGACGCAATAAAACGGTGAAGACAATACCGATCAACTTGAACAAAACAAGAACAATCACCAAAATGAGAAGGCGAGTAAAATGTATTGAACTGTTTCAATAACTTCTGTTCAAAAAGTCTCAAAAATATACACCATCAAATGTATCGAAAAGTTATGCTGATAAGAAAGACTTGATTAAGTTATCACTATGGTTAAAACATCTCGACAAGACAGTAAATAACTTGAAAAGTTTACTGATAAAACACGAAAGACAAAATCCGATACAATGAAGAAAAAAATGCGACTAAGTAACTGACTGACTGACTAACTGACTAAATGGTTTCAGCATAGAACATTGCAAAGATATGCACCAGTTTAATTTACACACTCCCTCCTTGAAGCACACAAACCAACAGAAGACAGTAAACAGAGACTCAAAAGACAGAGACAGATAATACATAGAAGTGATAGTGAATAAAAAAGGATAGCAGTAATATAGAAGAACAATAGTTTTATTGGAAGGACATGACAAATGGCAATGAGTCAATGCCTCTCCCCAGCCCCCCCCCCTGAGAATGATTTCGATCCATATCACCGATTGTCGGTCTTCAGTCGTCATTGGATCTTACCATCCCGAGGACCCCATAGAGCCAGTCTAAACCTCCCTACGTGGCTGCCTGGCTCACACTAACTGTTGTGAATTTCATTGACTGATGCACCCATGTTTTCATTTGATCATCACTAGCTCTACTCCAACCTGACGGTATGTCAGCTAACATTCACACCGTAGAGGAAGGCAATGGCCAGGCATGAGTAACGCATATCATAGCCATCTCAATTAATGTAGCTTCACAATTTCGCAATCGACTGACTTTATCTCCTTACCTAACATTCGACCTCAACACTAATCAACTTATTACACCTACCACCACACACCGGAGATAGAAAGCGGACACCTATGATCAAATACACCTAGTCAGACTTTTCATGTCTTCCACTTTTAATGACCATGTCTCATAGCCATCAAGGAGGACAGAGTCAACTGCTTCTGCGCAGTACACACGTCCTCTGATAGACGAAATAGGTAGAGGAACCAAGTACAACATAAATGTCAGGCTGAAGGGAATTCATCCAACTACCAAATAAGCTACACAGTACAGAACAAGAGCAGTTTATTGAAACAATCTAAGGTTGTCAAATCCCCCCCCCAACCTCTTTCATGTTACATTCAACCGCATTTACCACATACATATATATTGGACGAACAGAGAGAAAGATTTATGATCACATATCTGGACACTTTCCAAAAAACTTGAGATTGAAAGGTCTCTATAGATGTGCTCAAAATATGAAGTATGCAAACATTTTGTATGTTGATGTTCACATTGTTTTAGACAGATTGTATATAGTTTATAAGGTTTTACGTAATATTTATTATTCCGTTCAATTTATTGTTCTTGCTTTATTCAATAATAAGCATCGTTTTACTGACATACACAACATGAAGTTTACACAGTGTTAAAACATTGTCGATTGTTTTATTTGGGCATCTGTGAAAGTTGGTACATATTTCACAGATACAGCTTCTTGACATTATCTGAAAGTAGATTCATTTACCAAAACTAGAAGGTATAGATTGCATACAGGTAATTCAACTATTATTATGGAAAGCATTAACGAAGCGATTGTGAGATGATCATTTTTGATGATTACAGTATACACCACCTACTGTTTTCAAAACTCCCATGAACAATCCAATAATCTTAATTGTTATTACTAGCAAACATGAATTCTGTGTAAATACAGTTTCGTAAAATTAAATACAAATTACCACTTACATGTTGGCTTCTTATCTCCATTTGTAGTTGCACCAGTAGCGGCAGCAGCAGCTGGTGGTGGTGGTTTCTTTGAAGCGTCAGGACCTTCCGAGGAAAAAGAGACAGTATCAAAAGTAGACATTAAATCAACTGGAGAAAACGAAAAGGGAAACTAGCAAAGTTGAAAGAACTTAAAAACTTTTGTAAATGAAAAGAATAAGATCGCCGTAAGCAAGGAGTGGATTCACACAGTCGTGTACGAGCTTACAGAAAGTTGTCATCTGAAATGACAAGATGACAACCACTGGTGTCCGTGTAAGGAATTCCCACTGTCCCCCTTCCTGCTAAATTTCACCACTGATGTACTCATGGAATTAGCCACAGTTGACAGCAGCGACTCAGCGATTGACTTGTTACCAGCAGAGAACAACAAGGATGATATAGTACTTCTGGGTGAAGACGCAGACAAAATACAGTCTTCTGAACACCTTGAGTAGCAATGTTCGAATGCGTGAAGTGCGATTCACTCCCGTCAAATGTAAGATGATGGCGCTACAGAACTGGATTACACAGGCTCACTCCTAGCTTAAAGATAGGGAGTGGGGTGGGGATAGATCGTGTTGACTTTCACACATTCTTCTTTCGAATCCCTTTATTTTCTTTCTTTTGTCTTCCCTTCATGTACTGCATAAAGTTTGGCAACTTGAAATGGTGCAGTTCTGAGCAAAATTCCATGTTGCAACCAGTTAGTCAGGAGTGAACAATGTTTAAGAAATGTCTGTTCAAATAACTTCATAATTCGATTTGGACTCGTGTAACTTTCCAAGACATTTCGGTAGTGAAATTAGGTTTAAGGGGGGTCCACTACAATGTTTGTCATTAAATTTTATTATAAATTTACTCATACATGTGACCAAAGGTGATTTTAACGTTCTGAAGAAAGTGTTCATTAAGGTTGAAGACTCAGACGAAATACAGTAAGTATTCCGAAAAATCAACACATTCAAAAGTGTTTGGCAGACGATACATACGTATAAAATGTGAAATTATGCTACAGCAACGATCTGCAGCTAATTCTAAATAGAGCATAGTCGAATGGGTGTGCAACCACTTTATCCATTCATAAGTTTATTCGTCCCCAACGACTGACTGTAAAGTAATTTTAGTATGGGTGCAAAAGGCCTGTTTAGCATTTGTCAACTTGAATCAAAATCAGCAGAGGTGTAATATCCAGTTACTTACCCCCCACCCATGCCATGCTGTTCAGTGGTTTGAAACATTCTTCTACTTCTTCACGGCTATGAAACATGGACTTTCAAAGTGGAAGCTAAGAAAGCGACAACCACTTTGATTGCAAAGTGTTTGCGTTTAATTTCTCTTGAAAGATGGCATTTGATGGTTCGTCATAATGAAATTGGACTTAGCGTTACGTCAGGACAAGTCGCACAATTCACTTTCACAACCTACCTCAAAGCTAGAATTTCGCTTCCTCCCTCCCACCCCAACACTCGACCGACGCTTAACCTTAATATTACTCACCCTATTACACCTACCACCAAACACGGAAGATAGAACCCAAACACCATAGTATTACTAAGTTCCAGAACCTGTCAAAAGGCGAATATCTGATCAACACACCCTCCGCTTGATCTACAGTTTGCCTGGTTTACCAGTGTTTGTTTCTCCAGAGTACCACTTAATCTTCACATGATTATTGAGCCTAAAACTTTAGATATCACATATAAGTCAAAATAATCCGCCCATGATTATCACAAGAAAACTTGTCTGCCTTCTTGTAATCAATGAATTACACCGGTCTCTCATTCCCAGACGTTGCTTAATATACCTTAGTTAGCCTAGACAGTAATCTGTCACCAACACCGTCTTTTAAACACCATGTCATGCTACTACTGCCTTGTTTCAAATTAGAGACAGTCTTTGTAACCTCGGTTACACAAATGGAGGACTATTGTTTACATCCCATTCAGCTGAGCTTGGACGTAGGTCAGCTAGATTTGTCCTCAAAATGCTTCCTTCAACGTCGTCTATCTCTTGAAAGCTAACTCGGGAGCAGTTTTCTCGGAGATTGTCACGTTACAAGTAAATCGAGCTTATTTGATGCCCCATGACCTGCTGATTAAACTTTAATTAGAGTCAATCAGAGCTCCTTTAGAAAACACTGAAAGCTTGGAGAAAACAAGACAAAAACAGAACCTGAACCGTTTAAACAAGGATTAGTCTACATGGCATAATTACCTGTTGGCAATGGTAAATTCTGTGGCATCCCCCATGAAGCAATTGGATCATGCTTAAAACCATCAGTTGGCGAAACTTCATTCTCTTGTGGAATACCACCAGTGTGGAATTCTTGTTGTGCATGCTCTTGAAGTTTGATTGGTGTATTCATATTCATATTCAGGTTGTTATTATTATTATGAATAATAAACTCATTAGCATCCCCATTATTGATAGGCTGTTTCAAATCCCCTGAAGAAGGTTCACAATCTGATGCATCATTCACATAACCATTTGCTGGTTTATGCATAATAACGTCGTCAGCTCCACCATTGATGTTGTTTGCATCATCACCGTTCATAATATCTGAGCTGATATCAGTTGATTCAGCAGGTAAATTCTCAGGAGAAGGAAGCACATCATCTATGGGGAAAATAGAGGAGGAGGAGGAGAAAAAGAAGGAGAAGCATATATACATACATTCTCAATGTTTTACATAGATGTATATTCGCATAATTCCAAATGACAAACATAATGGAAACAAGAGAAATCAGCCTGACGAATGACTGAATGGATTCAACAGAGAATTTTGCACAACAGTGCAGTACTGGCTTTTTTAATTTTTACCGGGTAGGGTTACCAGCCTCACACCCAACCTTCTCTCTTTACTACCAGTCCTATTGTAACAATAGAAGACAAGGGCCAGGCAACAGATCGTTTATTACGGAAAATCAACACATATATATAGATTTTGATGTGCAGTATAGAAGATTATTGTTAGTAGAAAATACAGTCTTTTGATTGGTTGTTTCTCACAGAAAGTTAACATTGCATCTGTTTGTGGCTGTGTCAGATCATCCATATGCTAACTGTATCCGCCTAGGCAAAGCCTTTGTTCTCATTTTCTCACCACCAATATTGGGGACATAAACATTGATGTCAATTACTGTCTACCAACTTTGGCTAACAGCCAGCTCTCATCACACTATTACTACCGGCTTAGCAGAGTGACCTAGGTGTGTCAGTGGCCGGGGATACAACCCAGACCACATGAGGTGTGGTTGGCGAGCATTCTACCGCTAAACCGCCGATGCACACAAGGTAATGCTTAAATTTAATTTCCATGTTGTGGTGTCTTCTAATGCCTGTATAAATTACAGCAGTTTTAGTAAACAATATCCTCGCAGTATATTCAGAAGACGAAAAATACTGAGAGAAAAATTGTTTCCAACCAATTTTTCTCCTGATTTACTACTGATTGGTTTCAGCATAGAACAACTTTGAACAAAAGTGCAACAGTCCAAGGCCCCACACTCCCTCCTTGTAGCAAGACAAAAGAGAGGAAAAAAGAGATTCGGAAGAAGCATAATAAGGATAAAAAAAATAGTAACATTGAAAAACAAAAGGCTTTTATCGGATACAGGAGATCATAAAAAGTAAATGAATGCATCTGTACCATCACCGAGAACGATTTTGAGTCATATTACCAATTGGTCTGTCTCTAGCCTTCATTGTTTCTTACCATCCTGAGGACCTAAACCAGCCAGACAGTCAGTTTACACCCCCCCCTAAGTCGCTGGTTGGCTGGCGGGTTCGAACTGCCAGAGATTTCATAGGCTTATTCCATGATTTATTTTGCCCACTACTAGCTCTTCTCCAACCTGATCCTATGTCAGCTGACACTGTCGAGGAAGGCAATGGCCAGGCATGAGTAACACATGTCATAACCATCTCAATAGATGTAGTTTCACAATCTCACAATCGATTGACTTTTCCTCCTTACCTAACATTCTACCGAAGTCAAACCTAAAGATTACTCACCCTATCATGCCTACCACCAGACACGGGAGATAGGATGCAGACACCTTTGATTAAAGACAGCTAGTCAGGATTTTTATGTTTTCCACCTTGAATGGTCATATCGCATAACCATAAAGGAGTACGGAGCGAAATGCTGCTAAGCAGCATACATATCCTTTGATAGATAGTCAGCCAGATATCATATCTATCCCAGAAATGATGTAAGTTGACGTATGATAAACTATCCCTCTATACCCCGACCGAAAGCTGCTAACTTGACGTAGTGGTCGGGCTTGTACACCGCAATGACACAACAAGCTACACTGGCTGAGACTTATGTCGATTGAGGTCCCACCATGCCAGAAAGGTTGTTTGGATAGCGATTAGACAAAAAGCAGTTACCCAATCCAATTCTATGACTCAAACAAAATCACAAAATATCATGCCAGATCGGTCGGGGCCCGGATTAACAACGACCGCGCTTCCTGCTGCTGTGTCACAGGGCAGAAGTGATAAATATGCTACTGAGACATACCAAATGAAAAAGAACAATGAAAAAACAGGCCGCGTGTGACCGGCCTCAAGCAGTTGTCCCCTGGGCTCTGCGGTCACGCAACCAACTTCCACGGTGTGGGCAGCCGGGAAGTAACAATCGCCCTCACAATCCAAAACGCACGCGAAACCTCTCTAATCCTCACTTATCTTTGTCTTCATCTTCATCTCTTTTATCTTGCCTTCCTTCTACTGATGCAACTCCTCTACTTGATGGCTCTTCACTTCATCTTCATTCTGTGTCCACTAAAAAAACGTCTGAGATTTCATCAGCGATCAACCTGCTAGAGCTGATTCAACCTCCCATACAGGTAAAGTTGTCAACACGACCTACCACCATTTCACTCCTGCCCATCTTTAAGCTAAGTGTCGATATAGTCCAATCCTATAGCATCATCATCTTAGATGCTAGCCACCACAAACGGACAAAAGTTGGAATTTAACAGGCATTTCATTCCTTTCCAATGATTGCCTTAAATATAGTCAACGGACACACACCTCATACCCTTACAATTGTCCTGAGATCTATTCCTGGTCCGTCAGGTTATAGGTAAAGAAAGTAATAATGCTTTGGATAAGAATTAAGCTCTAAACTTTTAAGTAGTTAGGATTTATTGGCAGGTGTGTATTTCGCTGTGTACTCATTCATGAAACACACTACTTGGTATATAGTGTATAAAGGAAGGGGGGGGGTTGGGGTGATCAGAATTTTTTCTAAGAGCCTTCTGTAAACTTGATTCCAAAAATTAACCAACTGACTAACACACTAGCAGAAATAAAAACAACTTTCTACATTGATCTGATTCATTCATTACACATGAATGCGAACACACACACAAGCCTGTCTACATGACTAATTTTTGTATTGACAAATGAGAGAGAATTAACAATAATGATACTACTACTACTAATAATAATAACGATTTAAGCGTTTTTATACTTATACCGTTAAAATGACTACTTCAATAAATCGTCTACACATGAGGTAGGTGTACACAACACACACACGCACAGATGCGCGCACGCGCACACGCACGCCACACACAGGTGGTGTTGAACACATTGCCTATTATTACTATGATTATTATTATTCCGCGCCTAGAAATTAGTCAGCAAGGGAAAATAAGAGAAACAAAAGAGGAAGAAGGAAAACATTTTCTAACTACTGATCAATGAAAATGGGGCGTTGATTGAACAAAACAAAACAAAAAAATCAAACAGTGTAGACGGCTTGTTTTGTCTGTGTTCAATATATATGCTTTATTTTTAAAAAAATAACGAATTACTGTTCACCTCCTCTATTTAATAAATTCCGACCATAAGATCAAAATTATAAGAATTAGTCAGTTAGTAGTTAGCTCGTTAGTTCTTACTGACTTGTTTCACAACACACAGAACAACTTCGTATAGAGAAGTGCAACAGTTCATTGACTCAGTGACTGACTGGTTTCCTCGTAGAACTTTGTACCCATATGCACCCAGTTCAACTTACCACACTCCCTCCATGTAGCACAAAAAGCCAAGAGAAGACAATACAAAGAGATTCAAAACAAAGAGAAATAATAAACAGAGATATCAGGCAAAAAGAATAGTAATATCGAAGAACCACAAAGTTTTATTGGGTATTATAAGTCACAAGGTGTGGATGCATCTGCACCAGCCATTGAGAACTAGGATTTTAAGCCATATCACCAATTATCTCCAGCCATTGGTTTTTACCGTCCCGAGGACACCAACCAGGAGGTTTACACATTCCTACGTGGCTGGCTGGTTCAAATTAACTGTTGACTGATGAAGCTTTTGTTTTGGTGTGACCACCAGTAGGTGTTTTCAAACTTTATCCCATGTCAGCTAACATCGGCCTTTTCATGTCTTCCACTTTCAATAGCCATGTCTCACAGCCAGCCCAGCTGAGCAGTAACATACGCCTTTTGGGACAGCATTTCAACTTGCCACACTCCATGTTCCACACAAAGAAAGACAAAAGAGAGACAGAGATTTGAAAAAAAGCAATAATAAGCTCAAATGTGAGGAAGAAAGAATAGTAGTAACCATGGGAAAGTAATGAGGTTTTATTGGATGGATATAACAAATCATAAATAGTGAATGTGGTGAATGCGCATTCGAGAGAGCTGGCTGCTAGCCAAAGTTGGTAGACAGTAATTGACGTCAATGTTTATGTCCCCAATATTGGTGGTGAAAAAATGAGAACAAAGGCTTTGCGTAGGCGGATACAGTTAGCATATGGATGATCTCACACAGTCACAAAGCGATGCAAGGTTAACTTTCTGTGAGAAAAAACCAATCAAAAGACTGTATTTTCTACTAACAATAATCTACAATAATGTACATTAAAATCTATAAATATGTGCTGATTTTCTTCAATAAACGATATGTTGCCTGGCCCTTGTCTTCTGTTGTTACAATACCACTAATAGTACCTTAGTCATTGATGTTCTTAGAGTCCTGAAGACCCTATCACCTCCCTACGTGGCTCATTATCTTTGTTCATTTATTTACTTATTTATAACACAAAACCTGATGAAATATGAGCACCAAGATGATGCGCCACACAATAATAATAAAACAACATATGAGAAAATGTAGTGACAGAATGAATAAAGAACTTCGTCCGGAAAGGAAGCAGTTATATCTAACAGGATCAAACAGCAGTTCGCTCCGTCCTTCTCTATGGAGGTGAGACGTGGCCATTGAGAGCGGAAGACATGAAGAGATTGTCTGTTTTTGACCACAGATGTTTACGATCTCTTTCTCGCGTTAGGTGGTATAATAAGGTAAGTAATGTCGACGTTAGGCGTAGAGTGTTGGGCAAAGAGGGAAAATCAATCCAAGAGGCCATAAAGTTACATAGATTGAGATGGTTAGGCCACGTTCTGAGCATGCCTAACCATCGTCTCCCCCGACGGGCATTACTAGCTGATATAGGTCAGGTTGGTTGGAAAAGAGTAAGTGGTGGCCAAACAAAAACATGGCCTCATCAATCCATGAAATCCTTGACAGTTGAACTGAGTCAGGTAGGGAGATGCAGACTTCCGGGTCGGGGCCCTCGGGACTCTAAGAATCAATGGCTGGAGACAATAGGTGACATGGCTCAAAATCGTTGTCAATGGCTTACGCAGATGTATTCAGTCCCTGTAATCTTTCATATTCCTTTCTACCATTACTCATTCTGTTTCACTCTTATACTTGTCAAAACTCTATTGATTCTCTTCACTCATTTTCCTGTCTACCTTTGTGTGGTATTTGGAAGGTGGCAACTCGAACTGCTGCACTTCGGTGCCAAGTTCTATGTTGAATCCAGACAGAGACAGACAGGATCAAACAGCCATTCGTTGAGCTAATGTCACAAAAGGAAGAAAGAACGAAATTGTAGCCCGTTCGCCACTAATTGTGATTCTTGGCCATGTCTGATAATGTTTCCAGCCACAAATTTGAACTATCTCTCGGATCCCAAACAGGGAGCTGTGACACACCAGCCGATGTTAACCTAACACAAATATCCTTCACCCCACGACACCACGTCATTAGTTGACCACCTCTCCGCTTTTTACATGTCTAGCGAACAGAAACCGGTACGGAAGCTTCTGGGATGAAATTTTTAGCAAATGTCCAAGCTATCGGAGACGGCATTTCAAGATGACGAATGACTGGTGATCGCCACTGTGTCCAAACATATGCTGCCAGACCTCAGGATCACTTACACGATGAAGTCATCGAACATAAACAATTTAAGACGATATCGATTGTATACTTGAGGTCGACAAGTACCTCTCCAGGGAGCAGAGCTACACCGACACCACGCGTCCTTCAGAACTGACTCCAGAATGTCATCGATAGCAAAATTATACAGAAACGAAGAGGTTAGGCAAGTCTGTCCAACCCCGCTGTGGACTGGGAACAGTGATGACAGCTGGTTGTGTGCCCTCACTCTACCTGAGGTATTTCTGTATAAGGCTATTAGGGTGTTAACCAACTTCGCAGATACACTCCTCTCTAACAGACACTTCCGGTGAACAGTTCTGTAAAACGAATCGTAGGCAGCCCCAATATCACGAAACACAACGATTGTTAGCCTGCGTGGCCAGCCACGTGGCTCAAACAAACTGTTGAACATTTCATGTTCAAGGCGAAAGGATTAAGGGACGAAATATTTACTTTTTCCGTTCGACCCTAGTTTCTGACTCCTCGCTCTATAAACAAACTCATGAAAATTAATTTGGTGCTCGCTAGTCACTGGCTGCAGGACGAGAAGTTGTGGGCAGTGGGATCTATCAGGTCAGGAGCGGGGAAAATACTCACCCACGACATTGGCTGATAGTCTCACCAAAATCACGAATTGACAGAAGTTATAATTCATGGACTGGCTACCGAATCGGGTCCCAGTGGCTGAATGGTCTACGAACTTTCTTTGTAACCCGGAAGACCCTGGGTCCGAGGCCTCGACGAAAAGAGGTGCCCAGTACTCCAGTGCTGGTTCTCAACGCACCCCGTTAAATAAAATCATTTTTACACCCAATCAAAACAGACCTACCGTTAGCACAAGTTTCATGGTGTTGTGAATTCGCTTCCGCGGCAGTTTTGTCTTTGGATGATTCGTCCACTTTGACAGGTGTTTTTGTCAAAGGCGAAGGTTTATTTGTCACATTTTTCGATGATGTTGAGGCGGATGAAGGTGGTCGCTGAGCTGCAGTCTTTTTCGGCACTTGAGACAATCGAGCTGTATTGTGATGATTTTGCCCAGTCGAATTGGCAATACTTTCATTACTAGCAGATGCAGCGTGTGTTGTTGTTGTTGCTACTGTGGGGCGTCGTATGCCTAAAACAGAAATAAAAGAGAAAATTTAGAAAGAACGACTGAAAAGGTTTTGAGAATTCAAAAATTTCAATTTTCAGATTTTTCACACAAACCAAAATCAGAGAAATCATTGAAAACTAGCTAAGAGCACTGACTGTCTGCTTCCAGCATAGAACTTTGTACAGAAATGCAGCAGGTGGAGCTCTCACACTCCCTCCTTGTAGCACACAAAGCAAGAGAAGACAGTAAAGACATGCATCTATGCCACTGAGAACAACTTCGAGCCATATAACCAATACCCTACAGCCATTGGTTCTTACTATCCTGAGGACCTCAATTAGCCAAGGAGTCTACACCTCCATACGTGGTTGGCTGGTTGGTTCAAACTAACTGTTATGGATTTCATTGACTGATGAAAAGTTCCGGTCTCAACAAAGCTCTTGCACAACTTCACCCATGTTAGCTAACATTTCCCGTCGAGAAAGACAATAGCCAGGCATGAGTAACATATGTCATAACCACCACAACCGGTGTAGTTTTATAACCTCTTTGATAGATTTTTTCTTCCTTAACTAACACTCAACCTATACCTGACATTAAAATTATTCATCCTATTATACCACTTAACACGGGAGATAAAACGCAGTCACATATGATGAAAGACAACTCGCCTTTTCATGTCTTCCATTTTCAATGACCACGTCTCACCGATAACCATAAAGGGGGGCGGAATGAACCACCATGCAGAACACATATCTTTTGATCGATAGACACCCGGATAACATGTCTACTCCAGAGATTTTGTAAGTTCAGAAATACCACACGAGTCTTCTATATATGCTGAAATTCCATCATCAATCAGTCAGTTCGTTGGGTCTGATGCAACTTCTCAAATAAGTGAAGTGGTCATCACACTCTACCACCACTTCACTCCTGCATATATTTAATCTAGGAGTCGATGTAGTCCAGTCTCACATTTGACAGGAGCAAATCACATGCCAAATATTCGAAGACTGCTTATCAGTGGTGCTTAGAAGACTCTGCATTTCGCCAGCATCTTCACCTAGGAGGACTATATCATCCGCATATTCTAAGTCAACGAGATGATTGTCCGGTGGTAAAAAGTCAACCACTGTGCCGGTGATAAAATTAAACAAAAATGGGGACTGAGCATCCCTTAGGGACACCTGACTGTCACCACTCCAGAGCACAACTGGAAGTAATGGACAGCTGTTTCGTCCTATTTTTGGACTTTCCACTAGTGTTCCCCCATGGCACACCCTATCGGGGGTCGAACTTGGGACCTCCATATTAACAGAAACCAAGCTTGTTGATCATTCAGTCACTTGGACTGGATTTTCTATGACTGGTCAATTCGCGCTATTCTTACCACTAGTGTCTTCTAATGAACATCTACTTCACCACAACTCCGTGAAAGAAACCCACTGGTCATGACCACTCATCACAGCTTCAAGATGTCAATCGCATAACTTGAAAATTGGTTAAAAATAATGATACTTTCTGGAGTGCGGATAAGAAAAAAATTACCTGCGCTTAACGGTTGTACTGGTCGTTTGCGTTCATACTCTGCAGGCACAGCTTTTGAATGACGAAGGTAAATGAAACCAGAAATTAACGCATCTAAACTTGACAAAATACGCGTTTGATGTGCATTTGGTGAAACGAAAAGAATACGGAGTATAGGTTCAGTGTCTTTAGCCGGTTTCCAAACAACTAAAGCTGATACACTCGTATACGAAAGCTAAAAAAGAAAACCAGATGAAGCAAGCATAAAATTTAACATTATTAATGACTAATAATCGGGAATTACTAGAAAACGTATCACACTACTACTAACCGACTTACTGACAAAAACACACGAAAGATACGCAGTCCGAACGAGCCCCTGACATTCAACTCGGAAGAAAACCATATCCATGAATTTGAAATTCGAAGGTGATGGATGAGGCATAAGATATGCTTGAATCAGACATTCTATACTGCTTAACTACAAATGACCCTCACCAGGCGTTGTTGTTTTCTATCCCTGTTTATTTAGTCCTTCTATGCACTATTCCCTCATTAGTACAATTAATACTATTACTTTTGTTACTATTAGTACTACTATTCTCACTCTCCACTTGTCCCACCTGTCATTCTAAATCCCAAACATTTTTTACAATGCTGAATTCTATGTTATCAAATTTCACACCACATTATGTAACACTTTATATTAGCCTACCAACTCTATAATTATACTTCCCCTTCTAACATCTATACATCCTATGAATTATTCTATATATGACATTGATTGTTTTACCACTTGACAACTGACTATAACTATTAATCACAAATAATGTAATTGCATCTGATACTACTATTATTATTTCATGCATTCACACCTTTATACAGCTTGATAATAAATTCGTTGAAAAGAGTCTCTCCTCTGAATAGTTTGTTCGCAAAACTAATAAAACCTTTCAATTATATATTATTCTTTGCCTAAATTGAATTCCACAGTGCACATAGTTCCATACGCAACAGATCATCTATTAAAATCTATAAATAAATGTAGATACACTGTGTGAGTGCACTCAATTAGAAACCAGTTTCGACAGCAAAAATATTCTGATGAATACTGCTCTTGAGGCAGTTAGGAATGAACTGGACATTCCGAATGAACTCAAAAACATAAGAAAGCTCTCGGTTGATGAAATAATATTAGGTGTTCAGTTATGTTTAATCTCCAGTGTATTCGAATTAAAAAAAAATAAACCACGTAAACAAACGAGAGGGGTGGAAATGGGATCCCTAATATCTCCAGTAGTAGCAGACATAATGTGCGTCGATGGCACAGTGGTTAGGACTCTCGCCGACCATGCACATGGTCAGAGGTTCGATCCCCTGCCGACGCACACCCGATATCTATGGTCGGCCTGAATTTGGGCTACCGATATCCATGCTGAAAATGTCATACTTGTACTGAAAATACGGTGTGGCATCAAGCTGTAATCAAAATAAATAAATAATAGATAGCTGGGAACATATAGCTCAAAGGACGTTTAATCCTACCCCTAAGTTATGGAGGAGATATGTAGATGACACATTCACTGGCTTCAAATCTGAACATATCCCTCAGTTCCAATACACATATATATAAACTCAATAGTAAACGGAATCTAATTCGTCATGCTAGACTGTAGAATAAAACGAAAACAAGATGATGGGTTAGATACTAGCTAGCATTTATACGAAAACGACACACACTCGAATAAATACTTAGACTTCAATGCATCTCATCCACAATCGGTAAGCATAGGTGTACTTAAGTGTCTATACATGTCAAGCCAGGAGCCTAACTAACTAGTAGGCTAGAAGATTTAAGTAATGAAATCAAACAAATAAGGCCAACATTAGCAGAGAATAACACACTGCCCAACAGAATTTATTCAAAAATATATGAAGAACCATAGGCAAAAATAAAATGAGAAATGCAAATGGCAAAAAAACGATAATAATATAGAATTCAAAGTCTCTGTAGTACTGATGTATAAAGAAGGAATACCACAGGCCCTGAGTAGGATTCTCAATCAGACTGGAATTAGTCAGGATGGTACTTAAACCGACCAACCAATCTTTGTCGGCCCAAAGACCAAACAGATCGAATTAGCAAAAAAATAATTTACCAAATATGACTATTAAGTCAATTACATAGGTCATTCGATTAGACTATTGGCACATAAAAATTTAGCTAGATCTAGAATGATTGATCCTGGAGATAAAAAAGAGATCAATCACTGAATCTTTGTTTATCGATTAAACACCACACATGTGCAATCAAAGTGATACAACACAAATACCGGAGATATGGAAATTGGCGACAAACAACAAGAGGGAGAGGGAGACAGAGGGGAAAAAACTGCATAAGACATATTATGGATATGATTACGGGCAATAATTTTTGGGAATACTGGATAAACATTTCGTCCTAGTTTACGATGCCTCATCAGTACCAACCTACTGCCAGGGTTCGAACCCAGGACCTCTCTGTGCTTAGGCAAGCTCGCAGACCATTCAGAGATTGGAACCCGATCCACTGACCCAATTCGTGAGATATATTTGTAGCGCAACCATTAGGCAAGATCACAGGCGAGTAGCCTTTCTCTTACCAGATTCGGTGCACCTCACTGGTCACGACTTCTCAATAAGGGCAGTCCACAACTGGGGTGACGTAACAACTATCCAGTACTCCTTTGAGGTGGTCTTCCAATAATTCTCTCTCTAGCTGATGTCAACTCGTCATAAAGCCTTTAACAACCAATCAAATCCCTACAAACCAATACTTGACAACAATTTTGTGAACGACACGTCATTCAGTCATGAATATGGGAATCAAAGTCTACCATAGTGCCTAAATTGTACACCGATCAATATCCACAGGAGAAATTTGAATGAGGTTACTTCCTTTGCTTACCTAGGAAGCATCGTTCCAACTACAGGCTAGTGGCACGAATGACGATGTCAAACCCAGTCTGGATCGGAAAGACAAGACAGATCTTCATCACTCTAAAATCAATTTGGAAACCTTCTGTACTCAGCACAAAGAACAAGATTCAACTTTCCTATAGCAATGTTAAATCAGTCAATTCTTCTATATGGATCACAGACGACTTGGTTCAAACGTCACGAAAAGGACTTTCAACAGGCTAGTTGAATAATTTTGTTAACAGCTCCCCCCCCTTCGCTGGTTCTATACTGAAGATGAAATGGTCGGCTGGCCAGAAAGAATTATCAACCAGAAACTCTGGCAACAAAACCAATCAAGAATCTATCGCCTAACAAATATGATGAAGAAAATGAAGATGGATCGGACACACAATAAGGAGACCGTCGAATTACACCGCGTGCCAGGCCGTCGAGCGGAATCCCAGTCGGAAGCGAGTAGTGGGTCGTCTGAAGGTGGTATGAAGGAGATCGTGTCAGGAGGAGGAGGAGATGAGAGACTATGGACAATCGTGGAGCCAGCTAAAGACTACTTCAGAAAACTGGGCAATTTAGAGACGTGTTTTCGAATCCCTATGCTCCACTCAGAACTCAAAGTAACAATAAAAATAATAATCAAGTTTAAGCAGAAATAAGTACTTGAAATTAACAGTAAAAGAATTGCTCATTAAAGCAAGAGGCGGATGTGATGATGAATAACTCATAAGTTGAGTAAGAATGTGATGAGTTCAACTCAATTCATAGAAAGAGATAAGCAAAATTGCATTGTACCGAAGTGAAAGAGACCAAAGCCCAAGCTTAAGTCATCAAATGAAAGAAAGAGTAAGGAGATCTGGCTACAAGGACAAGAAAATCGCCCCGTGATCGAACCAGCAACCAATCAAATCTCTGCAAACCAATTTACTTGACAATAATTCTATGCTCGAAACCTTGTCATCCAGTTATGAATACTGCATTCTTCTGTGTGTGTGTGTGTGTGCGTGTATGTGATTCTATCAAATAAACTTAAACCTGAAAAGTAACCATCACAATTACCTCACACAGGTGATGACCTGCAAAGAAAAGCGATTTGCTTAACAGAACAGAAGACAAAGAACACAAATTAGCACAATTAAAATAGAAATCAGAGTCTAGAATGAATGATCAACACATGTGCCTGACGTATGAATGACTAAATAAAGATGCAAAAACAGACAGAGAGGGAGTGCGTGTGTTTCACATGAAATGATCAATCATGTGAAACTTGAAAAAAAAAGAAAAAGGAGAAATTATGCTTATCGATTCATCACACCACACAATCTATTTCTAGAAGGGAGACAACGTTACCACATGCTCAAAATGAATTAAATGTTTCTTACTAAGCTTTACGCATTACAAGTAATGTCTGTATACACAAAAGGAATTGTATACAAACACTATTCAAGAGGGCCAGGACTCATTGCAGCACTCCCACCTTAAGGAAAATTGAAGAAAGATATCTCATGGACGTCTTCCAAAAGAATGGATATCCACGGAATTTCATCAAAAGACATATACCACCAAGCCAAACTATCAAATCATGAGCCCCCAAAGAAAGCATAAAGAAAATCGTCTTGCCATCTATAAAGGATATATCAGAAATCACTGCAAGACTCTTCAAACCTTTAGGATTGACGTCGCACACAAACTAACAAAATCACTTCACTCAGTTATATGTCAACCAAACGACTCAAGAGCGAAAGGAGATAAAACCAACATCATCTACAAAATAAATTGTAACAACTGCGAAAAACACTACATTGGCCAAAGTGAACGTCCCTTTCGTCTTCGTATCCATGACCATAAACTAGGCATCAAAAGACATGACATCCACTCCCTCGCTCATATCACCAAGGTCATCATTTCGACTGGGACAACCAACGTTCAAATATTAGACAGAGGGAACAACAAGAATTCTAGAGAATTTTTAGAAGCCTGGTATTCCAGTGAATAGTTAATCAATAGAAACATTGATAGACAAAATTTACCAACAGATAAGAAGGAAATCTCAAACACAAAGGGTCAAAGTTCAACTCAGGGAAACAATCAGTTCCAATACAAGTAACCCAAAAGGTGTGAAAACACACAAAAACAACCAATCACGTCCGAGGTCACCAGGAGAGATGATTAATAAACTCGTGGAGAAATCTAAAAGCTCACTTCAAATTGAAGTATGCGCTGAAGATGTCGCCTAGTAAGGCGACGAAAGCTTCGCAAATAAACTATCCAGCTCAGATAACACAACTGCATCAAAATGCCTGTTTTAGCAGACATCTCTCTTCCTGTCGAAACTTGAGAGAGAGAGAGAGAGAAAGAATAAAGTTGAAGCATGCAATCTCAACGCATCCCCTTCTGGTGCCGATGATGTAGCAAGTTCGTGTCTTAATAATTAAATAATAAATACTATCACTTTCCTAAGAATTATTAAATGCCTTCTGAATTGAAATGATCCTCAAGTTACGTTATTATAGATTCACATACAATCATAATAACTTGAAACAATTTTTGGGTGTTAGCAGATGAAGAATAGGGCGTGAAATCTTTTTCTTAAATCACCTCATTCTATCGTGCAAATATTTTTCTTCACGCTATTAGAATTCATTCACTCTGTAGAAATAATGTGAAATAAAGAAATTACCTGATCCTACCTGCCTATTGCATAAATGTTAAATTAGAAAAGATGATAATTTTGTTAAATAACTTAAATGTTTCTTAGCTAGTATAAACAGGAGAGCAGAAAATAATTTGTAGGAATTTGATTTATTTTAAGTTTGATCACAGATGGATGTCAGTCAGGAGAATCACTGAAAAGCAGCTCGGACTACTGGAGTAGCTGTTTCGTCCTAGCTTGAAACTCTTCATCAGCATGCACCCACAAACTACAACAGAGATTGGACACAGGACCTTCATCTTACAAATTCAGGCTCCATCTAAAATACCTGAATAGTCAACAAGCTTAGCTTCGTAACCTGAGGGGCGTAGGACAGCACTGATGACGAACCCTAAACTAGGACGAAACAGCTGCCCAGTGGTCCCACCTGCTTTTCAATGGTCCTCTTGCTGACATCAATCCGCGATCAAAAAAGTCTCGACAACGGTCTATTAAAGTTAACTAGTGAAAATTCGCAACCGCATACAAGGTACTTGTGGATGACATTTATACCATTTGTGACAATAGTTATGACACATGAATCAGTTGCACAAGCATTTAACAACTGCTAACCGGCAATCAAATTCAATCTTCAAAATGTAAAATGAATCTAAAATTCCCTTTCTTGATGTAGAACTAACAAGAAGACCCAACGGAACCTTAAAAACGTCAGTTTATAGGAAACCCACTTCGAACGGTCAGTCAACTAACGAGTGGCTGTTGAATGGTAACGTAATTTAATTGCATCCCTTACCACTAAGATCCACCACATCTGTAGTCAGGATAGATGCCCTAGAAGCAGAACCAGATGCTTCATCTAAAATGGACACTCAGTAACATTCACTGGTAAAAATATCAAACCAAAAGTTCAGAGGGATGAAACTTTACATCAACCTGGAGCTTTCAAGGAAAACCTAACCTGTAATACCCTTAAGAGAAGAATTTCATCATCTTTGAGAACATTCTTCACAGCACCTCAATGATGAGATATCGCATCTGACCACTTCTATATGCATGTATATATCAGTTCACCTGCTGCTGTGGAGCCAGGTATATTGGTCGTTCAACGCATATCTTGCCTGAAAGGGTTCAAGAACACTCTCCCGCATAGTTTCATAATGGTAGTAGTGGCTCTATAAAGAGTATGATAATCGAACACCTTGTCAACACTGGTCATTCCATCTGAACAAACGCCTCCTTCAAGGTAATTCTACAGTGTGAAGAACAACCTGCTAAAGACAGGTGATACGCTTTCGTCTTGTGGCTGCATTGGTGAAGCTTTAGCCACGCAGTTGGAGAAACTGGAGTGATGCATTTGACATGACAAAAGTCTTTTTGATTACTATTCACCTGAATTTTGTTTGTTTGTTTGTTTGTTTTTCTAACTCCTTATAGTTTTTGTATTTCTTCTTTACAATTAATACAGAATTCCACACTTTCCTTCTTTTGTATTTGCTTGTTGATTACAACTCATTCATTAAATTGCTCACCCTATTACGTAACTCTAATACACTGACTAATACTAATAACTGCGATCATGACAACTCATCATCTTATTTCATAAGAAAGAGATCGTATATAAATGCAATTGTATACCAAGGAAGAGCAGTGTAAAACTTTTCGCTGAACTACGCTTTTTTTATTTTCACTAAATAGGGAAGGAGACACTATGAGTCAGTGAAATCAGACATTTGACCCCAATGTCGATTAAAAAAGGTCACCACCACCAAATTGAAATTTTTCACTGGTGTATGTTGTTATCCAGTTTAGAAAACATGATTTTTATACCTTAAACTAGTCGGTTTTTATGAGTCATGTTAAATAACTGTTATCACTAGTCATATACTACCATACCCATAAGTGAATAAATCATCGTCTTATCAGTGCGTCAACAGTAATCGAGTGGTCTGTTGTATGTATTGATGTTCCATTGCAAACACAAAACAATAAATATGCAATGGTAAAGGAGTTATGTAATAAAGGCAAGAGATGAGGTGGGTTAGATACTAGCTAGCATGTATACGAAACCGACACACACACTATAATAAATATTCAAACTTCAAGGCATCCCATCCAATCCATAATTGGTAAAGGAAGACAGGTTTAGTTAAATGTCTATATAATCAATCCAGGAGCCTAACTAACTAGTAGGTTAGAAGATTTAAGTAATGAAATCAAACAAGTAAGGCCAACATTACCCAGTGAATAACATACTACCCAAAAGAATTTATTCAGAAATGTATGGAAAACACCAAAGGAAAAATAAGATTAGTAGTGGCAATGACAAAATTAATCGGTCGGTTTTCGACATAGAACTTTGCACATATGTGCGGCAGTTCAAGTCGCCACACTCCATGTAGCACACAAAGGAAGAGAAGAAAGTAGAAGAAATGCATATAAGAGACAGTAAACAGAGGTGTGAGACAAAGGAATAGTAATAACGAAGAACAAAACAGTTGTATTGGAAATCATAAGTCACAAGGAGTGGATACATCTGCGCCACTGAGAATAACTTCGGGCCCTGTCACCAATTTTTTCAAACCATTGGTTTTTACCGTCCCGAGGACCCCAACCAGGAAGCCAGTCTACACTTTCCTAAGTGGCTTAGACTAATTGTTGTAGATTTCATTGACTGGTGCCATGTTTTGGTTTGACCGCCGCTGGCTCCTTTCCAACCTGACCCTATGTCAGCTAACATTGCCCGTCGGGGATAGGCGATGACTAGGCATACGTAACACATGTCCTAACCATCTCAGTCGATGTAATTTCACAGCCTCGTCGATTGATTTCCCCTCGTTACCTAGCACTCGACTAAAGCCTAACCTCAATATTGCTCACTCTATTACACCACTTCACACGGGAGATGGTATTTATTGTATTTATTTCAAGTTAAACTACGGATTGATATCAGTTAGGAGAACCAGTGAAAACCAACACGGAACACTGGACAGCTGTTTCATCTTACTTTGGGAGTCATCGGCAGTACCCACCCACCACAGGGGCGGTTCGAATCCAGGACCATCTGTCTACAAGGCAAGCTAGCTCGTATACCATTCAGCCACTGGAACCCAATTCAATGGTCAATCCATGAATTTTAACTTCTACCAATTTGTGATTTTAGCGCAACTAGCACAGCGTTACAGGGGGAAGTTGCCTGGAGTTCTAGTGAGAAGTTGTGACTAATGGGGCCGATCCAGTCGGAAGTGAGGATGGAGTTCCCGCCGATGACATTGGTTGGTGGATGAGGATGACATATGACTGAATAGTAGCGTCATATGCACTCTATACATATATGGACTAAACAACACTTCCTATTAAACAAATACGCCCACACATATAAAACTTACCAATGGAACAGAGGTTTTGTTCCCAGGTGTTCTGCTTAACGGAACAGTTGTTGTCATCAAGGAGGGTGAAGCTTTAGACCAGTCATCTGTCAACTTGCGTAATTCTGCAGAATCATCATCTCCTGGAGTCAATGGGAATAGCTCCAAAGAACCTTGACCTACCTAAAAACATGAAATAATAATAACAGTAACAAAAAATAATTTCTTATGTGACATCAGATTACATCTAGTCTGCTAAATATATATCCGAAGAATTCAAACAAGTGAGAACATACATAATTAGATAAAAGCTCAAAAAGACACAATGCTATTAAGACTGAATCCGAAAGTATGGAAGACTGAAAACTCCCGACTAACTGGTTGCAACATAGGACTTCGCATACAACTGCACCAGTTCAACTTACCACAGTAAACAGAGATTCAAAAGACACACAGATAATAAACGGAAGTGTGAGTGAGGGAAAAAGAACTGTAGTAAGATGCAAGAGTGCGTCAGTGGCACAGCGGTAGAATGCTCGCCGACCACGCAGGTGGTCTGGTGTTCGATCCCCAGCCACAGACGCACTACTTTACCTCGCTAACGCAGTAGTAAGACTGGTAAAGAGGGAAGGTTGGAGATGAGGCTAGCGATCCCATCCCGTAAAAGTAAACACGATTGCTACAGAAACTTCAAGCCTCTAGCTTGAGGCTCTATGTTCCACTGGGAATGTAAAGAAATAAAAAAATATGCAAGAACAATAGTTTTATTGGATATGACGAATCACGAATCATCTTCCCAAACCCATTCAGAACAATTTTGAGCCATATCACCAATTGTGTCTTCACCCGTCATTGGTTCTTACCATCCCGAGGACCCGAACCAGGAAGTCAGCCTACACCTCGTACGTGGCTGGCTGATTCAAACTGTTATGGATTCAAGTGTTGGTTTGTAGGGATTTGATTGGTTTCAGGATTTTCATCATGAGCTGACATTAGTTAGAGAAGCACTGTTATGGATTCCATTGACTGATAAAACCATGTTTTAGTTTAAACACCACTAGCTCTACTCCAACCTGATCTTATGTCCGCTAACTTTGATACCATCGAGTAAGGCGATAGCTAAGGGTGTGTAAAATGTGCCTTAACCACCTTAATCGATATATTTATTTATTTATTTAGACGCATTAGAACTTGGTACAATATGGCACCAAGAAGGATGCGCCACACAATAATAATAAAACAACATAGATTTAAAAAAAGGAAGGAAGGCAGGAAAAGAAAAAATATATATATAAGTAGAGAACGAATAAAGAACTTCATCTGGAAGGAAAACACTCATTCTTAACAGGTTCAAACAGTGTTCGTTAACTATCATCGGGAATGGAAGAAAGAAGGAAATCGCAACACATTCGCCATTGATTACGATTCTTGGCCATATCCGATAACGTTTCGAGCCATCGATTTGAGCTATCTCTCAGACCCCAACCAGGGAGTCGTGACACACCAACCGATGCTAATCTAGCACAGAAATCCTTCATCCCACGACGCCACGTCATGGGCTGACCACCTCTCCGCCTTTTCTATCCCGTCCCAGGGCTAGCGAACAGAGACCTGTACGGAAGCCTCTGGGGTGACATTCGCAACACATGTCCAAGCCACCGGAGCCGGTGTTTCCAGATGACGACATCCAATGAATGGTGATCTCCACTGTGTTCAAACACACGCCGCCGAACCTCAGAATTACTCACGCGATGATGCCATCGAACGCAAGCAATCCTGCGGAGACAGCGGTGATCGAACACGCAGAGTCGCCTCACATCCTCAGCTCGGAGAGGCCAGGTTTCACAGGCGTTTAGCAGCGCAGCCCGCACCGAAGCATTGTATACCCGACCTTTGACAGCCAGGCTAACGTCGCGACGGCGCCAGAGGTGGCTCAAGTTGATGTATGCCACCCTAGCTTTCATTATACGGTTGGAAATCTCATCCGTCACCCCTCCGCCAGCACTTACACAACTACCTAGGTACACAAACTTATCAACAAATTCAAGCGGTTCACCCGCAAGAGTGAGTGCAGGTACAGGCTCCTGCCAATCTTGTAACAGTACTTTGCACTTAGACGGCGCAAAGCACATACCATACTTACAGACACTGATCGCCAACTGATTAAGTGCGATTTGGGCAGCCTGCATGCTATCGCACAGTAAGACGATATCGTCTGCATACTCGAGGTCGAAAAGTCTATCTCCAGGTAGCAGATCTACACCACCTTCACGCACATCCTTCAGAGCTGACTCCAGAATGTCATCGATGGCAAAGTTAAAGAGAAATGGAGAGATTGGGCAACCCTGTCTAACCCCACTGTTGGTTGGGAACAGTGGTGATAGTTGGTTGTATGCCCTCACTCTACCTGAGGTGTTTCTGTATAGGGCTTTCAAGATGTTAACAAATTTCCCAGATACACTCCTCTCTTACAGACAGTTCCAGAGAACAGTTCTGTCAGACGAATCGTAGGCAGTCCCAATATCAAGAAACACAACGACCGTTGGCCTGCAATACGTGTGGCGGTGTTCCAACAACTGACGAAGGGTGAACACATGATCAATGCATCCACGACCTGAACGAAACCCAGCCTGCTCTTCGCGAATCAATCCTTCACGTATTTTGCACAGTCTGCGAAGCATGACAGCAGCCAATATTTTAGACGCAACTGGTAACAGACTGATACCCCTATGGTTGTCACACGAATTACGTCGACCCTTTTTGAAGATGGGGACGATAATGGCTTCGTTCCACATTGATGGTACGCTCTCTGTCTCCCACACCCTCCTGAACAACCCAGTTAGAGCCATTATGAGAGTCTCGCCACCCTCTTTAAAAAGAGCCGGGGGTAAATTGTCTGGGCCGGGCGCCTTATGGCGTTTCAGAACTTGGAGTTCCTTACGGACCTCCGCTTCGGTGGGTGGGTCGGTACTAACCGACCAAGGAGCACTCGGGCTAATGATAGTAAACAATGAAGCTGGTGGCCAGCTGAACTGCTTCCCAAAGTGCTCTGCCCAGCGTTCCAGGCGTCTCTTCAGGCTGGTAATTGGAGTGCCATCTGCCTCACAGACCGTCTCGCCGACACCTTGTTTCTTGCTGCCGGTGGCTCGTATGAGTTGGAACAGCTTCCGACTGTTGCCAGATGCAGCAGCTGACTCCATCTCATACGCACGTTCTGACCACCAGGCTTCGCGGTCCTTACGTAAACACTGTCTAATCTTGCGCGTGAGCGCCTTTCGCTGATTGTTGTATTCACTGCCAGCCGGAATGGACCGGCGTTCATCCAGGAGTTGCAAGGAACTCGCAGAAACCCAGTGGTTGTTAGCGGAGCATTCTTTCAAGCCGCAAGCGGCTACACACGCCTTTTGCATGGCACCTTGCACATGAAGCCAGTGTTCGTCTATACTACTTGGGGGGTTGCTGGCAAGCATTGTTTTCAACTCATTCTGATATTTCAAAGAAGTAGCAGGTGCTACTAGTTTGCTCACATCAACGCTTAGACGACGGTTTTTACGAACCCCACCAAATCGCAAGACGAACTTGGCACACACTAACGCATGATCGGAGTCCAGGCATGTGCTCCAGAAGGAGCGACAGTCTTGTATGCATCCTCGCCACCGGAAACTGACCGCAATATGATCAATCTGAGTCCAAGCTTGCTTCGCAGAGGGAGGACGCCAGGCAGCGCTACGGCGATGGCTGTGCCAGAAGTTGGTGCTGGCTAGAAATAGGTTGTGATCCGCGCAAAGCTGCAGAAGACGGTCCCCATTATCTGACCTGCGACCATGTAGTCCCCACTGACCACCTAGACGACTCTCCTCTGAGCTTAGACGCCCGACCTGTGCATTCAAGTCCCCAGCTGGCACTACGATATCCCTCCGACCCGCCTGTTTCAACAGATCGCTCAGTTGGTAGTAAAACTCATCCTTCATTGCATCCGGGCTGCAATCCGTCGGTGCATAGGCAGAGACAACAAATAGACACCGCCTATCTGGCCTACTACTCCTTACTTTCGTATATCCTTCCAGCCTCACAGCACATAAACGACTGTTAATGGGAATCCAGTCGAGCAGTGCAGCTTCGGCTCTAGCGCTCAGTGCGACACCGACACCAGCTACGCCGGATGCCGATGCCACAGGGTCCCCGGATAAGCGCAGGTGGTACATACTACTAGAACTTCCAGATGGAGAGGATAGTCGAAGCACTTCACTGGGATCTTGAATGCAGGTCTCCGAAATGCAGCAGACATCGATAGCGAGGCTTTCCAAAGTTCTTGCCAACCCTGCCTGTTGTCCGATTTGCATCAGCGTCCGAACATTGTAGGTAGCCAGCTTGAACGCAGCACGCGGTTTCAGGATATCTGTGTTAGAAGTCGCATTGGGAACAACCATTTTGAGGACTACTCACTAACATCTCGAAACGACACGGATAGGCTGGGAATCTCGACAAAGGCGAAAGGCTGTCGAAGGTTAAGAAGCCAAGGTTAGCAAAGGTAAAATACAGGAAACTATGTGTAAAAATAAAAGAAAGATAGGAAGGAAATAAGTTGCTTGAGGGATCAATATTGCTTGGAATCATTTTTTACTAGCGCGCGTTGAGTTTCAATGAGAGTTCGTTGCTTCAATTCATTCATTGTGTGCGGGCTGAGATACTGCCCGGGCGCCCAGACCGAAGCAGGTGGTTTTATTAAGGGACCACCCCCCGAGCCTTTGACTTGGAGTCTAATCCGCAAGGCAGCGGAGCAGCGTCAGGAGCTGCATTCCCATGGTTGCCGGTGACCCATATGGGTTCATACGCCATTCGATCCAATTGGAAACTGGAGCCCATGTACCCCATGCTAACTGCTTTTAGTCTAACCGCTATCCAAACAACCTTCCTGGCATGGTAGGACCTGCAGGGACATGAGTCCCAGCCAGTTTAGCTTGTTGGGTCACTGCGGCATTCAAGCCCGACCACCACGGAAAGGTAGCAGTTATCGGCCGGGCTTAATCAATATAACTTAACAACTTCCAATTGATTGACTTTCCCTCCTTACCTAACAGTCCACACCTGCCTACATGCTTAATACCACTTATCCTCAGAAAAGTTTCATGGAAAACTGAACTTTACAAAACGAGAAGAAACCGAAGTGAAGCTATATATATATATATATATATAATCAGTCTGCAGTTATTTATTGCTAACATCATAAAGACCCAGTTTAGGCAATATGCTTGGTTAAATCACTGTTATTATTCCCTTAATTCCCCAGTGGAGCATAAGGCTCCAACAGCGCATCTCTATTTCGTCATGTTCTCTGAAGTCCTCTCTTTCTCTCTCTCTGTTTTACACGATCTCCTTGATGTCATCTTCAGGGCCACACCCCACCCATCGTTTCCCATTCGGGTCACACTCAAGTGATGACCTGGATGGCGCGCGATGTCTCTCAGCGGTATCCTTAACCAGTGTCTGATCTGCCTTTACTTCCTTAAGTACATTTGTTGAGAAATAAGTGCTTAATTGGTCGGTGGTCCCCAGAATTTTTTGTTGATAATTCTTTCTGGTCAGCCGACCATCTGATCTTTAGTATGCAACCCGTGAAGGCAGCTGACTGACTGACTGGTTTCAACACAGAACTTTGCACCGATGTGCAGTAGTTCGAGTCGTCACACTTCATGTAGCACAAAAAGAAGTAAAAAGCTATGAAAAACAGAGATATGAGGCAAAAAGAATAGTAATATCGAAGAACAATATAGTTCTATTGAATATTCTAAGTCACAAGGAGTGGATGTATCTGCGCCAGGCATTGAGAACCATTTTGAGCCATATCACCAATTGTCTGTCTCCACCTGTCATTGGTTCTCACCGTCCCAAGGACCTCATCACCCAGTCAGGAAATCTACACCTTCCTACGTGGCTGCCTTAAACCAACTGTTGTGGATTCCATTTGACTGATGCCATGTTTTGGTTTAATAGAACTCTGCAGTGACTTGTTAAATATGCTTTTCGTGACACGCACACCAAGTTTTTAACTTATATAGAAGAAGTGACTGACTGAAAATTCGAATTTTGTTCTTTAATCTGCGGAGTATAGAAGATTTCCAAACTGATTTCAGAGTGATGAAGGTCTCTCCCCTCAACTTTTCAATTCCGGTTTCAACATTCTCATCCATCCTGTCACTTGTTGAAATGATTCTACCTGGAAGTGACTTCATTACATGCTTCACACCAATAGCTACACTGTTCGATAACTGCTGCCCAATACTGATTCAGATTACATTGTTCTTCGACGAATAAATTCACAAGATGGATAGAACATATTTCTGTCGTGTAGCATTGCTGGAGACATCTACAAACGCCATTGACTGGATCAACTTTCTCACCTAACATCATCACGCACAAGGGACAATTACATATTAGGCGAAAAATCCTATATGTATATATATATATATATATATATATATATATAACAACTACAAGTTCATCATATTCGCTAACGCGTAGATATTGCTTACTTTCTGGAACAATTGTATTGATTTAGGCAACACGGATTGTTTTCCTCCACGGGTAAGTGGATAAACAACTAAATTGGTTCCGGCACGTTTTAACTTTCCAATTAAATTAGAAAAATGCATTGGTAGACTAATTGGAAACTGTAATTGACTATCTTGTTGTTGTCCAGTCAAATTTACTTTTGTTTGACTAATATTCGGTGGAGGAGTTAGTAAACATAGAAACGGTTGATTATTATTGCTATTATCGTTGTTGTTGTTCTTTGGTGTAAACACTGTTGGAAGAATTTCACTGAGACCGAGTAAATTGTCAACACTCCACTGAGTGAGAAAAACAGAATCTAGCCTAGAAAAACAAAACAAAAAGAAAAGGGGGAAAAATAAGGAAAATGAGTAGAAGAAATATACTCGGAGACTTTAGCAGACAAATTATCAAATAACACGAACAGCAAAGTCATTGGACAACAACAATAAATTACAACTTCTCTTTTACCTGCCCTTATACAGTTTTACAATGCATATCACCACCTGTGAGGATAATGAGGGGAAAAAATGTAAATTAGGAAAAATAATACTCATAATAGTTTTATTTCGAGCAGTAATTTCGTTATGGATATAAAATTTTCGGTATGTAACACTTAGTTAGTTATCCAAGTATTAAGTCTTTTATCATCAATTCTAGTCCTATCTGATGAATTGGAAGGAGAGAACCTGTGCATACAGAGGATACGCAAGGTCTGACAAGATAATGTAATCGCTAATTTCTTGAATGAGTCCATATATCTATCGATAAAACATTATTGACAGATTGGTTTAGCAACACTTCACTCGTCCTACGGACAGCTTTAAATGCCCTTAGTAGTGTCAGAAAGTTGTTTTCCTTGGGTAGCCCAGGAGAGATTAAGGTGGGTTGGGAGCAATAAAGAAAAATAAACTGAATACGAGGATTAACAAGAGTGATAACAGATTAACTTAACTTCCTTACGTAAAAAACCTTAAACGAAATATCTTTCTAGAAACTGAAATAGCGGTGTAGGAAGACCAGGAAAGATCAGAAGAGAAGTACAGAATTCAAGGTAATTGACATTCGACTAAGTTTTAACTTTAGTGCCATGACAATTAAACCATTCGAAAGGAACGAATTCATGAAAGTAACAACCTGATATTTGGTGGGATTCAGCTTCAGACCATTTGACAAGGACCACTGGAGTAATTTCGAATAAAAAGTTATTCATTTTGGAGCAGTCTGATTGAAAAGTAACCTTTGGCATGCAAACAGTCAGATGATCATTGCCATACTCAACAAAACTGGCTTCGCCAGAATGGAGTAAGTCGTGTAAGAAGAGAGAAAATTGGAAAGGAGAAAATAACAGCTCCTTGAGGAACACCAGTTAGAGTAAGTAAAGCAGTGGAGGAGCTCCCATTATATAGTGTACTGTTACTATCGGAAAAGCAGAAATGTATTAATCTAGCATCGTGCCTGTTTCATAGCAAGCCTATTTAAAAATAAAGGCGTAGGTACAGAGGTACAGGTACAAAGACTGATGAAAAATGAATAAATGCAAAGCACTAGTAGTTCTTATCATCATCTGTAACCTACCGCCAATATATTCTAGTGAAATAGACAAAGAACATTACGCATGAGGGATGAAACTATGAACTGGATTTCCAGGGTTATAAATTAACAAAAATATGCAACCATTTAACTTTCTACATCTCATAAAAGCACACATGAAGTTAAGAGGATGGAAAAGAAATACCAACAAAAGAATAACAGATGGAAATATGTGGGGGAGAATCATAAGGGTTAGATGGCCTCGGGATATTATGAAGAGTGAATCAATATGTAGCTACCATTGAACCAATAGTCCAAGCTTAATGGTCTTATCTTACCTTAATCCCTCTACTAAGTGCCAGGCATAAACGTGATCTACAGGAACTTGTTGATTCATAAAATGCTTGTATCATAGAGACGGTACTGAAATTGAAACTAAGTCTTCGTCAACCCATATCTTGTTGATTTCGAAGAAAAAGTTCGGTCTAATCTTATACGTTAAGAAGTTAAGACAATTAGGAATCAATCAGTCCCTATATTACTCGTTATCGCTTCTAATTAGACTTTTCTAGGCTACTCAAAAACGACTATATCATATTGCGTAGGGTATTAAAGGCTTTCAGAAAGACTAGTATGCTACTAAGTCAGCTGATCAATATTGTAGTCGATATACACCTGAATTCATACGAGAGATGGACTAAATCCATACCAGCCGACTCTCAACACCTCTTGAGTCCATTAAGGTAGGACTAGAAGTCACTGTAGGAGATTATATGCTCGCTCAACCAAATAAAAGAAACTCAATGACACCCTGTCTGATCCGCATTCTATGTGACAGACAAAATGATGAGCTTGATACTTATAACTTACTGTGTAATTGGCAAAATAAATGGCTCCTTGATCTTCTCCTATTTGTACTTTTGTGCTGACACTATTTCAGTTATCTTATAAATTTTAGTTATTATTATTATTATTATGATTGTCACTTCGTACTCTTTGTACATATTTGACTACATTGTCACTGCTAACGCCAAGAAGTTGTTAATATCCATTTTGTAGTTCATATGAACTGTGATCAAGATTTAACCGGAGAGTTTCAAAATAATTGTGTGCCAACTCAGAAGTAGACACGTGTAAAAATTAATATTTGTATAATCTCAACGAAAATTGTTCTTGTTGTGGTTGTTGTTGCTGAGTAAATTACATGCAATATTGTACCAAACACTGAGAATCGAATACTATTTTGGAATAAAGCAAATTATCGTCTCAAGTCATTTCACCAACAGTTTCCAACCACTTGTTTTTCATGTCTCGGAGACTCCAAAACAGACAATCTACCCTAATCATAATGACTCAAAGTAATAGTGAAGGACTTCAGGGATTGGTGCCATGTTTTGATTTAAGCCACAGTCCGCCATCCCACCCCACCCAAGGGACTCTTTTCTAACCCAATAAAATGTCAGCAGCTAACAATGGTCGACGAGGAAAGCAACAAACTGGCAAGTGCAACATATGTCTTAGCCACGTCAAATCACTACAGTTTAACAACAATTATTGATTGACTTCTTCACCTAACACTTTATGTCTAGCCTCAATAGTAGTGAGTGACTATAGTATATTACCATACGACATTAGAGATAGAAACGTGACTACTTTTCATCAACACTAGCTGCAACATATGCCACATGTTTTTTTTGTTTATTTATTCATAATTTATCCTCAGGAAACGTTAGAAAAGTTACAGCTGTTTGATAAAGATAGAACAATAAACCATTAATTACACAGAATAATAATCCCATGAACAGATGTGACCGAAATTTATACTATCCCAGTATCCAGGTGAGATGTATAACCGCCCGAAGTATATGTGTTAATGATCCAGTTGACTGCATTCACCTTACCGAATGTTTTAAAAGCACACTTAAACAGATATTGTACTATTTTCGGATTGGATAGCACTCTAACTTAAACTACTACTTTAGCACCTAAACTTGTAAGAAAACAATTTTAGTAACCAGTTGTACTGCTTCTAGTGTATCCCTGACTTGACTGGTTTCAACACAGAACAACGATGCATAACAAATACATCGAGTTCTCATACTCCATATATCATACAAAAGAAAGACAAAAGAGATTCGAGAGAACGACAATAAGCAGAAATGTGACGAAGAGAGAATAATATAACATGGAAAAGCAACAGGATTATTTTGGATATGGCAGATCACAAAGAGGGAATGAATGAATGAATACATCTTCGGCACTGAGACCGACTTTAAGTCATATATCTCTGTTAGTCTACAGCCATGTGTTCCTAGAATCCCAAGGATTCCAACACCAGTCAGTCAGTCAAGTAGTCTACACCACTCTACAAGGCTGAATCAAACTAACTGTCAAAGATTACGTGGACTGATATTCCAGGTTTTCGTTCGATTATCATTGGCTCTTTTCAAACCTGATCCATCCTATGTCAGCTAACATTGATACCTTCGAGGAAGGTGATAGCTAGGGACGCGTAACACATATCCTAGCCATCTTAATCGATATAACTTAAGTCTCACAATCCACTGACTCCCCCCCCTTACCTAACACTCGATCGAAGCCTAACCTCACCCAATATTACCCACTCTATTATATTACCTAAAACAGGAGATAGAACGCAACGTATCACAATTGGTAGAACTCAATATATATATATATATATATATATTTGTTTGTTTTCGTTTTCAGTTCCGATGTCTCTAACTTCACAGTTTCAGTTTCAAACTGTATACACACACACATCCATACACTCATAAGTATGAAACAGTGGATAAGGACAATAGGAAATCATTCATTACACTATACTACTCATTCTCAAAGATGCAAATCCTTTCTGTATATTGATTTTGACATTAAATAATAATCTCATCCTTTTCTTCTTAATTTCGAAAGGGAAACAAAAAGATCAAGCAAATTACCGAAAATGTAGGGGCGGGGAACAAACAGCTACACGCAAATAAACACACACACACACACTCATAAAAGGAGGAGTGAAGATAGAGAGTAAGGAAGGAACACCAGAGCTAGCTCTAGCTCTCTCTCTCTCTCTCTCTAGGCAAATACTTAATCATAGTAAAAGAAACCAAAGCTATTTTAAATGTTTTACTCAAGACAATTTAGAAAAATACAATTTTCTTTTTAAAAAAAAAGCAAATAGAATCTACATAATTGTAGCATACAAATGCACAATAGCGTTGTACGTTTGTGTGACAAATACAAAGAATTACTACAGACAGTGGGTAAATCAATTTTCATTAGGAGGTGTAAAAACATTTAATATAATTAAAAAACAATCATAATAATAATAATAATTGATTATAGCGCATTTATACTATGTGAAATGTTTTAATTCTTAAGATCACTTGAACTGAACTGAAAGAGGATTATTTTCCAATCGGGAGAATGATCCACTACAGAATAGGCGTAATAAAGTAAACTACACAGACAGGCAGACACACACACACGCACGCACAGTGTCGGTACTTCATTGGTGGAATGCTCACCGGTCATGCCTCATGTGTGGTCTGGCTAATGTGCACTGCCTAGACCTCGATAATCTGGTTTCTAAGCCTGCAATCTGCGAATGTTTGGCATGCGATTCGCTCCCGCCAAATGTAAGATGATGGATGCTACAGGACTGACTGGACTACACTGACTCCTAGCTTAGAAATAGGAAGTGAAGTGGTGGCTGAGCATGCTGACCACTTCACTTATTTGGGAAATTATATCAGCCAGTTCCGGCAGGTTGGCTGCTGACGAAATCTCAGCACGGATACACAAGGCTCGTTTTGCATAGGCCAGTTTACACCGTCTCTGGCGTAGACGTGACATCCAGCTATGCGTCGACCGAACGGCATATGTACTGCACAACTTCGAAACTTCAGTTTCATAGTTTTCATTACTCCTTCCTATTCGTTCTCTTAGAGGTAGTAGAATTTTCCAGATATCCGGTTAGACAGGTGTTTAATCATTCCTATTACACGTATTTTCTTAAGTTGATTCAATAAGATAAAAGTTCCGTTGTTATCAATCTCTCCCTCCACTCAGTTGTTATATTAGATTTTAGAACTGCCATCTTATTTCATCCTATTAGTGTGTTTGTGCGTAGTTGCTTGTAGTGAGTCCCATAGGTGAACTATTCTCCAGATTTCTTATCTTATTAGGGTCAACTAATCTAGATTTTGCTAGGTTTTTTATGCTCGGTTAGCCTAACTGACCCCCTGCTTCTACTACTTTGACCTGACAGTCATTGTGGGCAGGGTATTAAAGGAACTAAGTTGTTTTGTTTAATGGGCTGTTCCACGGGATCGACCATTTAACCGACAAAGCTTGTTTCTATCTAATTGAGTTTGTGGGTCGTTTGAATCCCAGCCACTTCTATTTCTGCATCCAGTAAATAATAAATACTGTTTTACTGTATTATATATATACCTGTATCATATACCTAGTAAACAAATAAATATGAAATTATGAGTACTAAGGAAATTTGAGTAAAATAACATTATTGTAGCAGAGAGAATGTTTACGTAGACAAGGGGTGTGGTTAGTCAGTTGAGAGTATAAGTAGTCAGTTAGGTTACACCCATACATTTTTAATTGACAGACGAGAGAAAAGAACTTTAAAAAAATATCATGCATTAGTTTCCCTTGATAAGTTTCGATAAAGAGAAAAAGACTAGATTTGCAGTATAAAATGTGATATCATCATTCTATTTCACAGGTCCTCATCAGCTGCAGACCACTACATGAATTTAAAATGGTTAGAAAAGAATGACAATAACATACTTTAATGTTTGAGTGGTAGTAGAGGAAATTGTATAGAAATAATTGAAGCATTGAAAGTGTAAGCACTACAATTTTTAGTTTAAATTACCTTCGATTTATATGCCTTTGAGAGTGGAAAACGAGTGATGGGGAGAGGAGAAGACAGAAAAATCTAATCTTTATTTGCCTTCCATTCAAACGAAAAGGAGAATCCCCAAGAATTCAAAAAAGGAATAAAATGGAGCAGTGAAAAGATGCTTCTCTGTGTACCTAAACTCGTATCATTATACAGCACCTTATGCTCACTCAAAAAGCCAATCTAAACTGGGGCAAGTACCCTGCTGATGTCACCCCTAACTGCGTTTATAAATTTACGCGCACTTGAGGGAGCAAGTACATTGGAAGAATAGAAAGAAGATCTTTTTGAGAATATCCCAAGAAACGTATACCTAAGGGGAAGTAGGTATTCGTACGGTGAAATTACTAGACGCCTTATAGATGCGAGTCATTTCATCCAAAATATTTAACATATAAACATGCGCTACGTATGCCTAGTCATCGCCTTCCTCGACAATGGGCAATGTTAGCTGATATAGGGTCAGGCTGGAAAAGAGCTAGCGTCGGTCAAACCAAAACATGGCACCAGTCAATGAAATCCACAACAGTTAGTCTAAGCCACGTAGGAAGGTGTAGACTTTCTGACTGCTTGGGGTCCTCGGGACGGTAAAAACCAATGGTTGGAAACAATTGGTGACATGGCTCAAGGTGGCCGTTCTCAATGGCTGGTGCAGATGCATGCACTCCTTGTGACTTATGATTTCCAATGAAACTGTTTTGTTCTTCGTTATTACTATTCCTTTGTCTCACACCTCTGTTCACTGTCTATATTATTATGCATTTCTCCTACTTTCTTCTCCTTTGTGTGCTACATGGGGTGTGGCGACTTGAACTGCCGCAGATATGTGCAAAGTTCTATGTCGAAAACCGACCGACCGACCGAACACACAAACAGGGACACCAAAATTCCCTACAATTTGCTGAAGCAATTGCAATCAAACATTTCAAACCAAACTTATGCAGCATACAAAAAGAAAGTGTAGTCAACCTCTCACTTCATTGGTAACTGCATTTCAATTACGCTGATTAATCATTCATATTAGTGATTTTAACTCACAAAGCGAATTTCATGCTTATGAATTATGAGCTTCCTGAGTTGTTATGTGAAGTTCTCCCCAACTCCTTTCCTACTTTGAAAGCACATGAATTGATGGTAACTTATTACTCCATTATAGATAAGATTTTAATTTAATTCGCTTATAACTACTGTAATTTCAGGTATTCTACAGCAGATGATGAAGACCTGTAAAAAACAGAATGATGATATCATATTTTATACTGCAAATCTGATTATTCTTTCTTTAACGGAACAACAAAAAATACATCTTTACAACATAAAAAACATCACCACCACTACCACAAACAACAACTACAAAAAAGGTAAAACAGTAATGATTAATTTGTACACCTTCTTACCCATCAAGATAATTAGCAACAGGCCAAAAATTTGGCTTGTAACTACACCCTCCATTGATTAACATAGTGTAACCTGGTAAGGCTAATATAGAAGCTTGTCCAGAACCTTCAGGAAATACATAAATGCATGGTTTAGAAACTTTAATCGTAGGATCAGTTGGTGAACGCATTGTCAATGCTTGACTAAGAGGTGGACAATAAGGATCTGGCAGTTTTGACATTACATCGCATAGAAAACTTTCGAAATCTGTGTATACACATACGTATTTAAGAAGAAAAAGAAAGAGGACAATACAGATCAGATAATCCTTCAACTGAAAATTACACGATAAAATTATAAGGCATTATATATATATATATATATATATATATGTATATATATATATATCCTAACGATACAGTTGAAAAGCACTTCCAACAGGTGACTGAAGACTTTTATCAACACCTTATCCCATTTGCTGGCTCCCTATATTGAAGATTAAATGGCCAGAAAGAATTGGCATCAAAAAATCTACTGCTCAATATATATTCCGAAGAATTCGAAGATGGATTGGGCACACACTGACGAGACTGTCAAATGACATCGTGCGCCAGGCTATCACTCGTGTGGAACCCGAATTGGAAACGGCAAGTTGGGTGTTTGTCCGGGGGTGACATGCAGGAGAGATGAGAAATTATGGGCAATCGTGCAGCCAGCTAAAGAGGATCACAGAGAGTGGGACGAAATGGAGACACGCGTTGTTGAAGCCTTATGTTTCACTCAGAATCCAAGGGAACAATAATATTTAATATGCAAATGATAAAGTTCTACAGTAGCTATATGGACGATAAAAACGGGGAAACATCATCGATGCTTGTAAAAGCATGAGCATGAACCGACGAGTTAGTTATTCGAAATCACTTATCGTATACCGGGCGATGAGCCAAAGTTACTGTATGTGAGGGCTGGTGACACAACCCACTTAACTAGGTTATGGGAGGTGGAACCAGATTTCGACCTGAGACTTATCGAATGGAAGCGGATTGTTAGGCCAATTGGCCACGTTTTAACTATATAAACTGCTTCTTCTTATTTGATTGGTGGTAGGCAGTATTAGAATCCAAAATGGGTATTTCGTCTTATCCGGGGCTTATCATCTGGATGTAGCTGCTCCCCCAATGATTGCTATTCGCATTGAAACTCGATACCCATCAATTCAAACTCCATAGAGTTTTTTCACAGACTAATTGGTCACGTATGTGCGACAAGAAATCATATGATTATTATGTGTCCCTTGTGTTCCGAATGGAACATAGGATTTCAGCAACACATCTCCATTCCACTAGGTTCTCTGTTCTCACTTTCAGCTGGTGCCAAGATGGTTCACAAGCTTTTCCTTTCTCACCATATGATCATTTGTGTGTCAACTTTAGACTCAATATGAACTCAGTCCCTACCATTCAGGTTCCACTTGATGGTCTGCCACCAAGCGTCTTATCGCCTCTTCCCACGACTTCCTTCAGTGTCATCCTCAGATGCTTAATTGACTGTATCTCATCAGGGTTCCACTAGAAAGCTCGTAGACCACTAAGCAGTCACTAGCACCTGACCCAATTCAGCAGTGGTCAGCTGATGAATTCCAACTCCAACTAATAGTTCACGACATAACGCGATTCGCACTAACTAATGTCATCGGTGGCGAGTATTTGTCCTCACATCAGCCGGACCTGCTGTACCCCACTAGTCACGACTTTCCACTAGACCCCAGGTAACTACCTAACAGAATAGGGTCGGTCGCTAGTGAACATCAGACTGATATTCAACTGAATAAATTACAGAGGGAAAAATGTACACTAACCGAACGAACTAGCAGACGGAGAAGTAATATCTGTAGGCCCATGACCTTTGGCCTTTGGTGTTGTACGGCAACGATTAACTGTTACTTGGAATGTATGACCTCCAATAGACTGGGGTGGTGTATTAACCAATTGACGCCATTCCCCACCAGATGTAACACCTCCAATACCAATATGAAGACGAATGGGTTTTGGACATGGTTGATTTTCTGCATCATCCTAAAACAGATAATGATGACTTATCAGTTATAGTGATAAAGAAAGATAACGAATAGCAAAAGACAGAAACAAACGATAAAACTCGATGAAATATAATTTTAAAACGTGATAAACAGCGGCTAACACCTGACTCACTAACTGACTGACTGCTTTCAACATAAACCTTTGCACACAACTACACCAGTTCAGCCTACCACACTTCCTCCTTGAAGCACACAAACTAACAGAAGACAGTTAACAGAGATCCAAAGGACAGAGATAAAAAACAGAAGTGTGAATGAGGGAAAAAGAATAGTAGTAATATGGAAGAACAATAGAGTTTTATTGCTTTTATTGGATATGGCAAATCTCAAAGTGTGCATCTCCCCGCTCCCATTTAGAACGATTTTGAGCCATATCGCCAGTTGTCTGTTACCAGTCGTTGGTTCTCACCATACTGAGGACCCCGACCATACAGCAAGCCAGCCGGTCTACACCTACCTACGTGGCTGATTCAAACTAACTGTGGACTAAAGATTTCGTCGACTGATTTCATGTTTTGGTTTGACCATCCCTAATTCTTATTCAACCTAATTCAATGTCGGCTAACATTACTCATCGAGGAGGGCGTTGGTTCGGTATGCGCAATACATGACCTAGTCATCCCAATCGATGTTGCATCACAACTTCAAACCTATTTGTTACACACACTCAAAACCTGAATATAATATTCAGCAGCAAATAATAACTTACCGACTTAGGATGAAGCGTCGACAAATGATGAATGAAGTCGACTAAGAATGCAGGCGTCAGTACACAATCGGGTAACAACCAATGAGCCGACCCCTCGGACAATAAACCAGCATAAATAAGAATAACATTCACGGCAACGTCAGGCTTTTTCGGTGGGACTAAGTAACTTGTCAAAAGTGATGTAATTGCAGACAATGAAGGACGACATAGTATCCGAAACTCGAAATCTTCACTCTGATGACAGAAGATGCCTGAAAAAATTTAGGAAAATAAGCCAAAATAGCATATCAGAGAAATGAGGACTATTTGATGAAGTACAATTAAAATATTCGAAACAACTTTTGCTCACTACATTGAGTCCCATTTAATATACGAGGTTTTATCATAATACCTAATAAGGTTGAGTGAAGGCTGAAATCTTGTTGCAAAGAATGGAAGATATAACTTCAACAAACCGTGGAGTGGCTAACACTGAAATCTTTATGCGTTTCGTTTCTTTAACAATGATAAACTTAGCTCCTTGGATAACACCGTATAACATATTTGTGTGAGGCCTAACTAAACCAGCTAGTGTGGAGATGTGTTACACCAGCTTACGTAGTCGACTTTTAGCTTAGTGGGTTTTGGGTCAAGTCTGGATCGGCCTAATAAACCTCGTCTCAAAATGCTCCCATGGCGTCTGCCAAGAAAGTCCTATTCACTGCATTCAAATTGCGTAGGTGTTCTCCACAGAAGTCGAAGGGCAAGTTTGAACGTCTGGCGCTTACAACCGGAATGGTGAACAAGCACATCTACCTACAGGAGCGGAAAACCCCTAATTCCAAACCTATGGTGTACATGAGCTCCAAAATCCGAACGGACTTAATGGTGTATGAACCTGTTTTGGTCACCTGAAACTATGGGAAAGCAGCTCTACTGACGTGTCGATGAAACTTCAAGTCAAAGGCTCAAAGGGTGACTACATAAAACAACCACCTGCTTCGAACTGGACATCGAGGCAGTACTTCAGCCTTCGAATCTCTTGGTGCTAATAATGTGGTAAGTTTGTGTTTTATTAATATAATAATCAAGTCTCGGTCGGCCTTATTCAGCCTGGGCAACCATCACGGCAAAAAAGTGAGCCTCACAACCGAGTAGATAAGAAATCTGTTCCAGATAGCAGAATTTTAACTAACCCAATTTCTCAGGTTCAAGAAGATGAAGCGGAGTTTGAAGCCACCCACAGATCTACAACACTCTTGGGAAAACAGATTTACAGTACATATAACACCAGCATCTCACAACATTCTAGCAGCTTCGAACAACGATTAATAGGATTTGAAAATATCTAGCATACTTCAAATGTGAAGATAATCGGGATTAACAGCTAAGGTAGACGTTTTTCTATATTGTTGTCTTCTCTGAGCCTGTTTATTTATTTATGAAGCGATCACTGTCCTTCCTCATAACATTTTCAGCAATACCACCTCACCACCTACCTCTTTCAATTATATTGAGAGAAGGAAAACAGAATATTAGTGATAATAGTAAAATAACGGCTGGAAGTGAAACAGATCCACAGCTATCATTTATAGTTTGAACCAATAACGACGTGTATACGACCAAAAAAAGTCTTATTGGTGTAAAGAGGATCAATCACACGAAGTGATGTAAGAGTACATAACTAATAAGATAAGCACATAGTTGATAAGAAACTGCATACTTCCCTTTCACAATTGCGTGAATAGGTAAAGACAATCGAAGTTACGTGCTAATTTTAAGTTGTTGGTGAAGAAGAATTGACAAAACCCTACCTAATATATTTTTTATAGAAACAGGATAGCTAACAGATATCTCTCGATCATTCAAGAAAACAGTACAAACTTCCCCCTAACCCCGGTGGTTTGTTGAAGTCTAGGTTACGAACACCTTAAACCTGATCTTTGTTGAATGACTGTGATCAGTCTTGTTTTCCACTCTGATTTTTAACAAATTTTATGATTCTTCATTCATCTGATGTTTAATTTACCCTTCACCATCTCAGAAACGCTGGCCGTATACACCATTATTTGTTTCTGGTACACTTTACAACCACTGAATTATTACGGACACATTGACTGACTGAGTTTCAACATAGAGCCTAACACACAAGTTCACCAATTCGAGTTGCCAGAAAAAAGAGGGAAGAATAACTTTATTGAGAAGAAATGTGAGGAAGAAAGAACAACATCACAAAACATGAGAGTCTAATGGATATGGGACATACCAACGAGTGAATGCATCTGCGTCATCAGGAAGGATTTTGAGCCGCATCTTAACCACTGGCTTTTAGTATCCCGAGGATCTCAAACAGGTTGCCTGCCTCTCTCCAATTATTATTACTTTGCATTATTCCCTTGGATTTCGAGTGGGACACTGGGCTCCCTACGTAGCTCGATTTCATGGAATGATGCAATGTTTCCGTTTGACTACCCTAATTCTTTTCTAACCCAATCTTATGTTAATTATTTTTTTTTTATTTTGATTACAGCTTGATTCCACACCGTATTTTCAGTACAAGTATGGAATTTTCAGCATGGATATCGGTAGCCCAAATTTCAGGCCGACCATAGATATCGGGTGTGCGCCGGCGGGGGATCGAACCCCGGACCATGTGCATGGTCGGCGAGAGTCCTAACCACTGTGCCACCGAGGAAGATAACGGTTGGACATGCACAACACGTGTCCTGACCACTTCAATCGATTCACCTTCACAACCTCATTCATTTAAACTATTCATAGTATATAGGAATATAAATGATGGTCAACTTTAAGCACTCATTTAGAAATACACACATCTTCACAATTGAGAACGAATTTCGTCACAATGGTTCAAAGGATAAAATAAGAATATTGACAGAAATGGAACAGTAGAAAGCAGCATGCTAACTAGTAACAGGATAAAAACCATAACAAAGAAAGCATTAATTTGCCTCCTGTCCACAGGAATGATATTAGAAGATTGACTTACACTCCAACGAACATTGTTGATTGCTTGTTAATCCATTTAAATGTGACTGGAACTTGGCAAGCAAATCCGATGGGCAGCTGGTTAAACCTAGGAGAGGAAAAAGAAAATTTAGTAGGAGTTATTCAAGTTAAGTAACAGTAAAGTTAGAAGAAATCTAAAGATATCCAGACTATGACACACTGGCAGCTTACGAGGTTTCTAACAGCTTGTTTCTGAAGTGTAGTCAAGTTTGTAAACACTAAGTGAGGTTATCAGAAAATTAAGAACCAATGACAAGAGGTACCTAGTAAAATGGGTCAAAATCAACCAGCGGCAATGTTATGTCTGTTCATCACAGTACAGAGCAAACAATTTCAAAACTTTACAGTAGATATTCTTATTCTTCTTTTTCTTCCCAACATAATACTACAATATTTGTATTTGGTCATCCACTGTAGAGATGTGGCTTACTTGTCTCATCACACAAAGGGTCTCATTAGAATCTCATCCTATCCACAGCATGACTATTCTTCAATAAAGTGAGCGTTGTAGGCTAGTGAGTGAAAACTCTGCACCAACCAGTTGAGTTGCACAGTTACTTAGTTGGGCATTGTAACGACTTGTAGTAATAGACTACTGGTAGAAAATATCACAAAAAATACTATATGTTACACATCTCCACTAAGCTAACGTTTTGTAACAAAGTTCTCAGTGTGGTCTGGTGTAGTTATATCGTCCTGTTAAAGGGCTATTACATGTCTACATAGTCATAACTTTTGTCTATACATGCCGGTGCCTTAACGATGGGAAAGGGTCAACGGGAATATGCTATGCCTATCAACTTAGATTGAATGAAGAAATCAGGATATAAGACTAGTGATACGTGAATATAGTTCAGTCACTATTAACCCACGAAATGAATCGTCGCTTTTCAAACTAGACTGGAAGAAATTTAAGGTTAGTCAAACCGGGACATAATGTCAACTAATGAAGGGAGATGAAGATTATCTGAATGAAGTCGTTGGAATGCTATGAATCAGCTGTTAGAGACGGTTGGTGACATGTCTAGGGATTATTTACAATGGTGTTAATGTATTTTGCTGTTCTTCGTCTTGCTTGCATGGATACTTGGAAAATGATATTGAACATTTCATGAAAATGGCGCAGATTAGTTTAACATTCATGCGGAAAATCAGGCATAAAAATAGGAAGAAATGTGATGAAGCCACAACAAGCCAAGGTAGTCATGATAGGGTAAGATTCATTGAACGTATATGAAGGCTCTCAGAATCCCAATAATGTTAGAATTAGTGAGTGCTCACTGACGAACAGCTTGGTTTACTGTAATTTTATCGCATTCCTTCCTACTTTTTAGGCATGATTTTACCAAGTGTGTCAGCTTGATCTGCAGCATTCCCACGAAAAGTTCAAAATAATTTTTCCAGTATCCACTAAGACGAATCCAAAACAGTAATCTTTTCTTAAGATTCTGTTTGGATAACTACGTGTTCCTAGCCAGAACTAATTCACATGTCTATGCATGACAACCGGTGTTATGACAGCCACTGTGGATGATATACAATAGAATACACAATAAGTGTCGTGAATAAACGCACCTGGAATGGCATCTTTTACCAACGATGGTTTCTGCTCCTCATCTAATATTTCCCCCAAGATAACCGCTACGCGAGTTACAGCCATAAACCACGCAAAATAATGAAACTCTTTTGAGGTTAAAATCGTACGTACATGTAATTTGACATCGTAAAACAAGACATTCAATTTATTGATAATTTAGCATTTTTGTGCAAATGTCAGAAGGGAGAAAATTCCTTAATCTTGTGAGAAATATATTGTTTTAGTAGCAACTAGCTAATTTCCGGAAACGATTTATCTACCTGTGTGCAATTCTCAAGTCAGTAGAATTCCCCACATTGATAATAAATTTCTACTTTTACTCTGTAATTCACTGAAGATGCTTTCCAGTGCTATTAAAGAGAGCTGACATCAGATCATGAAGTAGCCAAGGAAATCGTGGTGCTGACTTAACTCATGATCCCAGTAACCCTTAATTTAACAACTGTCAAGTGCTCCAGACATATATATATGGAAAAATTTACAATGCGCATCCAACAAGCAATGCCATCCAGGATATACTCCTCCAGATTAAAGATACCAGTGCGCAGTTCCATAGTATGCCACTTAATAAGTATGGTTCTAGTAGTGGTCAGCTTTTATCATTCATTGCGTTTTGAGCGGAAGATATGGCCTCAAAGGCATGTATTAATTGTACTCGGCCCATTCCCTTCACTTTCATACGGCACCACAACTTACAGTATACTCATTTCCTCCTGACATGACCTTGCATTTGTTACATTCAGACGCCTGACTAGTTGCTTTATCCTCGGACTGCACTCGAAGCCCTACAGGGTGACCACGCTCAGCAGTCGCCCCACAGTAAGTTCAGTCCAGTTGCATATCCGCACACTTCTTCGGTATTAGCCTGGTTTTCTGGTGAGCTACTATGTTTCCTTGACTATTCCCCTAATCATTCTGATAGATGAACCAACTGTGGAGCGAATGCACTTTTTGTTGACAAAAGTCTGCACCAGGTTGTGGGAAATGCATTGGGCCTGCTGAACGATCCATTACAAGACACTGGTGATGACCGAGGGGGTGAGTAAGCAGCGTTCACTCTGAACGCTTCAGTGAGCTTCCCGTCGTAAATTGATTTACGTATAACGTTATCATTTGGTAACTGAATCAGGTTTATAAGCTTTTGCAGTGCTGCACTCTAAAGTGCTAAGGCAGTTGACAAGTTGGTTGACTCCATCTAAGGCCTCTCAAAAGTCTAGGATGTTAAAGCAGTGATTTGACTTCTATTCTAGGCCTCGTCTAATTGATGGACGGTATTTCAGTGTGGTCTACGAGTGAATTCACCTTTTCACTACAGCCTGCTGCGAGTGAATCGCCTAATCTGGCACACTCTTCAGTCCATTAAGGATGAAGTGGCTTTATATTTTGCGAACAGAAGCGTAATTATGAACCAGTTCTTGCAGAGATTTCAGTCATACTTCTTTGGCAATTAGACAATACGGCTTATCTCCAATAGTGTGCACCTTGTCTTCCTTCAACACTGTCCATATTTTCGCTGGGTTTTCCAGATCCACTTTCAGTGCTACTTGTGGGAATTATAAGGGATTATTCAGTTTTTCAAACTTATAGTAAATTTCCCTGTGACCAGTCTTAGTGGCATTTTTTGCATCCAATGCTCCTGAAACCCGCGTGATAACATTTTAAATTACTTAGAAGTTACACACAAGTTTCTTCGACTAAGTGTACTGGTGAACGAAATGAGTTCAGTGATTGCAGGTGTCATAGGAACGTGGGCCGTTTCTAAACCAGAAGGATTTGGTTTCCTTTGAAGTTATAGAATCACAGGTCATGAGACAGGTGGGATAGTACCTTATATCTGTCATCACTTCCGTATATGCCACTGGAAACCTGCCTGCAAAGATGACATGCATTTCATATGAACTTACATGTTTATACAAAGTACAGATAATTACAGTTATGTAACAACTGCCGGCATATGACGTAGTCAACCCTTAAACAAATCTAATGAAAACAACATTGAATTTCGGGTGCTCCGGAGCAAACCGAACTGCCACGTTTCACAATTTGAGCTCACAAAATGATGTAGATAATACTAAACTGAATGGGAATTGTAGTCACTTTGTTCTGTCAGTGCCTGCCTAACATGCTTATCTACCTGCCGTGCCTTCCTATTCACTCATTCATATATCAAAAGTCTGGCCTGTGACTGTATATTGTAATCACAACAACGAAAAACAACACACAGTATTGATTCATTTTCTTTACAACAATAAAGTCGGCCTAGCAGCCGTAATAAGTGATTAATAGCATAATTAATCCCAACATGCGTGAGAGATGATGATATACTACTTTATTCGAGGTGCTGTCACAAACTAGTGGCGATATGGATCATTTGATAGCTGTCTTACCTCGGATATCTGCTGCACCCGGTGTAAGCTCTGTTGCTGTTCGCTCTTCCGAATCTGTTAATAGATTTTCCAGGTAATTACTTTTGACGGTTAAGGAGCATCGTGGCATAATGCAACATAGAGAAAAATTAATTCCTCCGTAAACCACTTCTTTTCTGAGGCGACGTACATACATGATGGCAAAATCATCCATGGTCTTGTAGAACGCGAATCTAGAAGGCCATAAATCATAAATCCTAAGGATAGCTGAGATCTTGTGTCTACGATTTTCTCCAGTTATCCAGCCGATGCTATCGTTTCCTCGAAAAATAACCCAGCGAAAGCCTCCTGCCTATTTCACGTGCAATTCGTTGGTGTTTTCCACATACATTCTACTACCTATTTTGGTTTGCATGGGTCCTTCGGGATGTCTTTTAAACCGACTTGTTATTGGTCAAACTTTAACTTACAGGTACGCACCCGTTAACCAAATTTACTTCCTAAAGCCGCTCGGTCATTTGGTATATCTAAGCTGTCTCACACTAGAGATATTTTGCCATTTAAAACACCGCAGCCTACCTTTGCCTTAAGACAGAAGTCTAAAATGTTACCATCGTATGTCTGGTGGTCGTTTGAGTATTTTCATTTCATGAGAAGTACTACCATCGTACTTAGTTATTCAAAACTTTAGACATATTATATAGCGTAGTTTTAGTTCCGACTATCGCCAGTCAGATTAACAGGTCAACTGTCCCACTTTAATACGGTGACTTAGTCATTTCCATGTTGGACTGCATATTCTCTGTCGTATACTGGTTGGGGCAGTCACTACATATAATAATAATGATTTACTTTATTCCAAAAACAGTACTTGTGATACAGAATGGAATTTTCAGCATTAATCACAATATTGCATCTAATTTCCTCAAATTATAAATAAAATTAATCGCATTGAAAATTTTTCTACATTTACAATAGGGTTAATAAAAAAATTAATAAAAAATAAAAAACATACAGCATATAAAATGGAAATAATAATAATGATAGCAGCTAAGGTAATGATAATAATAATAATAATACAAGTGAAAATTGCCGTCGGCTTGTTTCACACAGTATTGTCGATGCGGTATATAGTTCTGTTTGACTATGATGCGTGTACAATTTATGACTGGGGTGAGATATGTGACTGTCACTGTTTCGAAAGTTAAACTTATAAATAAATAAATAAATTTATTCTCATAGTACAGTACATGAGGGACGCCAGTTTACAGGCATCATCAAATTGTTACAGAAATAGAACCATATAATTTAATCACAATTTACAGCCAGTAGCAAGATATGCTTTACATGTTCGATAGAGATTATACATACACTTGATAAATGTTAATTCCAGTAGTATAAAACAGCCTTTTCACTTATATACAATCATTTCTGTGCAAAGTTGGAAAAATCTGCTAGATTGTCAGTGAGTGCAACACAACAGGAAATACAGGAGTATTGTCTTCGCATTAACAAAAAAACCAGGTCTTTGGTGGATGGATTATAAGTGCCTGGGAAAAAAATAAAGCTTGAAGTAAATATTCATACATAACTTTGTTGTGTGCAGAGTCCTTGAATTATAGTTCATTGATGTGTTATTTTGAAATCAGTGATGTGTTTATCTCATTTGATCTGCAATGTCATTGTTGGGAGTAAGTACATAAGCTTCGGACGCATTAATTAATGGATTTCTACTGATTACGGGTATTTTCTTAGCGTTAGGAAGGTTTATGAGTTTCAGCTGTTCCGACAGGAGTTGAGAATATTAACTGCTCAGCAACATTATGGATATAAGTTCATCACATTATCTAAGGAAAGGTGGGTTGCAGTTGGTGAGGGATATATGGTACCCAACGAGCGTTCATCTGTCCTTGTGATGTTGTGGTGAGTTATACCTTTTTCATGTTGTCGGTTTATGTCCATTTTATTCCACTTATTGTGTTGGGTAGTGGTTTTACAAACGAGATTTGTTGTCTGTTTGAGGATACGTATGTTAACCGTTAATGTTTTATCTAGAATTATAAATATAGGCAAAAAACAACAGGTGTAGTATTTAAGCTTATACATTAAATGGACCTATAATTTCGGAGGCTCTCAGATAGGAACTAGAACTAATATCGTTTGCAAACTCTTGTAGTTTGTCATTAAGCACCTTTTTGAAGGAGGCCAATGTACTTGCTTGACGCATTTCCATTGGCAGTTTATTCCATATCTGTGCATACCTAATCAAGTAAAACTTTTGCCTGGTGGCTGTTTTACATTGTTCGATAGCTACTGTACCCTTAGTGTGTCTTAGTTTGTAGCCATTGTCATCTGAAAGTCGAGTGCCATTAGTAGAGGTAAAAACTAAGTGGTTTAGAAGCTTATAGTAAAGTGTCAAGTTTAGTCTCAGGCGTCTTAGCCATAGTGTTTCTAGTCCTAGGGTATCACATCTAGTGGAGTAGTTCGTACCATTTCCGGTTCCGAGTAATTTTAACGTGAAGTACCTCTGCACTCCCTCGACTTTCAATTTGTCCTCTATGCGTATGCTACTATACATGAATGAACAGTAATCAAATAAAGGACGCACACAAACCTTGTACAACAGAATTCTAGACTCATTTCTGTAGAAGTTCCTGAGTAGAAAGCCGATAAGTCTGCGTGACTTTGACACTTGTTTGGAGATGTGTTCAGAAAATGATAAGTTATGTGAATATTTCAGCCCTAGGTCCAGTACAG